CGATTATGAGGAGACTTATTCTCCAGTGGTGGATGCAACAACATTCCGATTCCTCATAAGTCTGGCCATAAGAGAAAATCTTGATCTGCGGTTAATGGATGTTGTAACCGCATATCTCTATGGGCCTCTGGACAACGAAATATATATGAGACTCCCAGATGGCATTGAACTAAAAGACAAAAATGCATCTCGAGATCAATACTGCATCAGGCTGAACAAATCCTTGTATGGACTGAAACAAAGTGGGCGTATGTGGTACAACCGCCTCAGCGATTACCTCATCAAAGAAGGCTACAAAAATGACCCCATCAGTCCATGCATCTTCATCAAGAAGTACTCAAACAAAGGATTTGTAATCATAGCAGTATACGTGGATGATCTAAACATCCTCGGAACATCTGGTGAGATCTCCCAAACAGTCGACTGCTTAAAAGCAGAATTCGAAATGAAAGACCTAGGCAAAACAAAGTACTGTTTGGGATTACAACTTGAGTACATCAAAGGAGGAATCCTTGTGCATCAATCGGCTTATATCGAAAAGGTACTCAAGCGATTTAATATGGACCAAGCTCACCCATTGACCAGCCCAATGGTAGTTAGAAGCTTAAGTGATGACCCTCTTGGTCCCAAAAAGGATGATGAAGAAATCCTTGGTCCTGAAAAGCCATACCTCAGTGCTGTAGGAGCGTTAATGTACCTGGCTAGTCACACTAGACCAGACATATGTTTCGCCGTGAACCTCTTCGCTCGATATAGTTCATCTCCAACTCAGAGGCACTGGAACGGTATAAAACATCTCCTAAGATACCTTCGAGGTACTCAAGACTTAGGACTCTTCTATACTAACCAAAATAAAGATGGGTTAGTCGGCTTCGCCGATGCAGGATATCTATCAGATCCGCACACTGCCAAGTCTCAAACTGGCTACGTTTTTACGCATGGAGGAACAGCCATCTCTTGGAGATCAATGAAGCAGACACTCACTGCCACTTCATCAAACCATGCTGAAATCCTAGCCATTCATGAGGCTAGTAGGGAATGCGTCTGGCTGCGCTCCATGACTCAGCACATCCGCAGAGATTGTGGTATGGACGAAGACACACAGCCCACAGTGATGTATGAAGACAACGCGGCATGCATAGCTCAGCTCAAGGAAGGATATATCAAAGGAGATCGGACGAAGCACATTCTACCGAAGTTCTTCTCAACCTCAGACTGGCAGAAGGACGGCACTCTCAGCGTTCAGCAGGTCCGATCCAGTGAGAATTCAGCTGACCTCTTCACCAAATCATTGCCTACTTCAACACACCGGAAGCTCGTCAAACAGATAGGAATGTATAGACTTAGAGATCTGCAGTGATGCTACAATCAGGGGGAGTAATGCGTGTTGTACTCTTTTTCCTTCACCATAGTTTTGTCCCACTGGGTTTTTCCTGGTAAGGTTTTAATGAGGCAACATTCCCCAGCGCATTATCGAGATCCCGATTGAGTAGCTGACCCGGTTCACTCGTTCAAGGGGGAGTGTTATAACACATATCATATATGGACTCTTATACCAGCCCATTAAGCCCATCAGAGCATTGTACTTAACCTAGATTCCCTATGTACTCTATATATACATTCCAGTGATTAATAAAGTTTCTAAGTTTTCACAACAATTTCGTCATTTTTGGACACATTTCGACGTTTACGTGGAAAAATCAGAATAGAAGAATCATCGTCATCGTCTTCCTCTTCCTCTCCATCACACACTTTCACATTATCCTCTTTCCTGTTTCGATCGGAAAATGGAGAAATCCGGCTATGGCAGAGACGGTATTTACCGATCACTTCGTCCGACTCTCGTTCTTCCCAAAGATCCCAACACATCGTTGGTCTCTTTCCTCTTCCGCAACACCTCTTCTTACCCGTCGAAGCCTGCGCTCGTCGACTCCGATTCCGGCGATACCTTATCCTTCTCTCAGCTCAAATCCGCCGTCTCTAGACTCGCCCATGGATTTCTCCGTCTAGGGATTCGACAAAACGACGTCGTATTGATCTTCGCACCCAATTCTTACCAGTTCCCTCTCTGTTTCCTCGCCGTTTCAGCCATCGGCGGCGTTTTCACCACCGCGAATCCTCTTTACACTACGAGTGAGATTTCGAAGCAGATCAAGGATTCTAATCCGAAGATTATCATCTCTGTTGAGCAATTGTTCGACAAAATCAAGGGTTTTGATCTCCCCATCGTGCTACTTGGATCCGGCGAATCCGTGCAGGTCCCTGGATCGAATTCGAAAATTCTCAGTTTCAACAACGTGATGGAGCTATCTGAGCCAGTTTCAGATCTCCCGACTGTTCAAATCAAGCAATCGGACACGGCTGCACTGTTGTATTCATCAGGAACCACGGGAATAAGCAAAGGCGTGGAATTGACTCATGGTAATTTCATCGCAGCTTCTCTAATGGTGACGATGGATCAAGATCTAATGGGAGAGTATCATGCTGTGTTCTTGTGTTTTCTTCCTATGTTCCATGTATTCGGGCTTACCGTGATTACTTATTCCCAGCTCCAGAGAGGGAATGCTGTCATCTCCATGGCGAAATTCGAGCTCGAGACGCTTCTTAAGAACATCGAGAAGTATAGAGTCACTCAGCTCTGGGTTGTTCCTCCTGTGTTCCTTGCTCTTTCCAAGCAGAGTATTGTGAAAAAGTATGATCTTTCTTCACTCAAGTACATTGGATCAGGAGCTGCACCTCTTGGGAAAGATTTGATGGAGGAGTGTGGAAGAAACATCTCCAATGTTGTGCTTATGCAGGTTAGAACCTTGGTTTCAAACTTTGCTCTTAGTTTTGGTCCTTGAAACTCATTCCCCTGTGGGTCTAAGTTTCTATATAAACTTTAGATGTGAGCTAATTCATTGATCTTTGCTCATGAAAGAATCAGGCCAAAAAGGTATAGCATTTCGCATAATTTTGTTGGTAGGAGACAGAGTAAGCATAGTTGTTAGATAAGTGTGGAACTTAGCAGAGGGCTTTTGAGATGATTGTTTGGATGATGTTAAAAAGTTGTGTTTCGTGATTTTTTGCTAATCCAATCGATGTTTGCTCGTAAAGAACCAAGCCAAGAATTTTAGTATAAAGAATGAGTAGATTGTTTGAATGGTGTGTGTTTGTGATATCTTCAGGGCTATGGAATGACTGAAACGTGTGGGATTGTCTCTGTGGAGGACCCGAGACTCGGGAAACGGAACTCTGGCTCAGCTGGAATGCTTGCTCCAGGTGTTGAAGCTCAGATAGTAAGTGTAGAATCTGGAAAATCTCAGCCTCCGAATCAACTCGGTGAAATCTGGGTACGAGGGCCTAACATGATGAAAGGTAAGGTAGTGTTATATCAGTTTTATTCCCTTTATAGATCTTCTTTTAGTTTGAAAATCATGTCAACCAAATTCTCTTTCAGGTTATCTCAATAACCCTCAGGCTACTAAAGAAACAATCGATAGAAAAGGTTGGGTACATACAGGAGATCTTGGTTACTTCAACGAAGATGGGAACCTTTTCGTTGTTGATCGAATCAAAGAACTTATCAAATACAAAGGCTTCCAGGTTTGTCTTCAAACCACTGCATGTCACTTTTAATCTCCCAATTCTCTCTCATTCTTGTCACTTTCCAATGCACGAAAATGGAACCAGATTGCAATCTTTATGGTTTGATATATACAGGTTGCTCCAGCTGAACTAGAAGGTCTTCTTGTATCGCACCCTGAAATACTAGACGCTGTGGTGATCCCGTAAGTCATATTCACGATTCAATACATTAGTAGCACTCATTGTCTGTAAACATTAATATCTGTGTATATATGTTGCAGGTTACCTGATGAAGAAGCTGGTGAAGTTCCAATTGCATTTGTTGTCCGATCACCAAATAGCTCAATAACAGAGGAAGATATTCAAGCGTTCATAGCCAAACAGGTTTCATAACTTTATTTCGAATCAATTTATATTGGTGTGTCATCTTTCTTCTCTAAATCTCTAAATTAGTTATTTTATTTGCTTTCAAAAAATAGGTTGCTCCTTACAAAAGACTACGAAGAGTCAGCTTCATTAGTAGTGTTCCAAAATCTGCTGCTGGTAAAATCTTGAGAAGAGAACTTGTTCAGCAAGTAAGATCCAAGATTTGAAGAATCGTTTATCATTATAGACCATAGATCAGAATCTCTGTGTTGTTTCGTTCTTTTCACCATATTTATGTACAATGTCAAACTAAACAGTTCCAGAAACCACATAAAGGGAAAATAAAATAGTCCAAGACCAAAGTCGTATACAATAATACATAACTTTTTTCAGAAAAAAAATAGCGATAAGCAAGCACCTATATTCCTTTTTTACAAGTAACAATGATGAACTCTGTTTTTTTTTTCTTTAAAGCTTGATTATTTTTTTATTATGTGTGTGAATTTGAACTTTGGAGGACCACATTTCAGTATTTATTTTTAGGGACTCTTTTTATTAAACCACGCCTCATTTTAACCTTGAACTGCAATCCCAAAACGCAAAACACAACATTAATTTGCATTTTGCACAGCATCTACCAACCTCAAATACATTATTTGGACCTCAATTGTTTCAAACGCAACTTATTCGTTTGCGTAATTTCCATATACTGTATATGAGAGAAACACTAAGAAATTCACTATTTTGGAAATTTAAACATGTTTAGTTACTTCTTTAATAATTTTTGAAAAATATCAAACCCGAATAATAGGTCTTCTTTTGGTTTTTGCGTTTACGTTTATAATTAGTTTGCTGAAAGTACATTCTACTTTGTATAATTGTATTCATATGGAAAATGTATCTGTAAAATGCAAACAAACAATATCGGCTTTGAAGTATTACGTGACATTTACATTTCTGTATATAAAAAAAACATCAAACTTTACAAGATTCCCTCTCTTTCTTTTCTTTTTTAAATGTGGAAGAGAGCTTAAATATTTGTTTATGTATCTGTCTAATTTACACGTTTACAGAGAACGGAAAATTCCAGAAATCAGAAGTGTTCATCTCTGCAGCCGAAGCCGCGGCTGCAGCCACCGGGTAAGTAGTTGAGATCGGCATAAGACATAGCCCACGGCTCGCGAGATCTACGTGTTTTCTAGAACTACATTCTTCTTCTTCTTCTTGAGTATTGATAGATTTCTTGTCTGAAAACTATTTTAATTAATTCAAGAATCATTAATTGGTGATGATTAGTTTTGAAAAAGATTCTTGAGATCACAAGCAAAATGACAAAAAGAAGAAGAAGAAGAAGAGAGTTGTTAACATGTAACTAATTTTAAGTACCTGCTGTCGTTGAACAGATCCTCTGGTGTTCTGGTCTGGATTACTCAACACCTATTTTAATTAATAAAGCATTATTTTATTAAATGATTTATTATGAATTTGTGATAGTAAATGAAAATCAAGATTCTGAAACTTACAGTAACTTGTTCTTGAAGAAACTTAATGTACTCTACAGCCTCGTTGAGAACAGAAGCCGTATCTGTCTGCAAAGAAATTATATGTAATTATTTGAGTTTATATTAAAATAAATAAAAGTTCAAGTCAAAACCGCACCAAAAAAATGGAAGAATTTTTTTAATTTACCTTGCCAAATGGTGAAACTAGTTGCTGAAGCGCAGTGATTCGATCACCAAGTTTTTCTTTACGAACTTTGAAGCTTGGCAATGAAGATAATGTCTCGATTCTTGGCCTTTTTAGCATTCGCGGTGAATATTCATCAACGTTCTCTTCTGATTCTTCACTCTTCTGAAAGAATATTGCTGTTAATTAACTTTAATATTAACCAAACAAAAGTACTTGGGTTTTGATTTGTATTAGTACGTAGTTACGTGCCTTTGTAATAAGATTCTTGCTGTCTTGTGTGATTTGCTCCTTAGACTTATAGTTTCTGATCTCATGATCCAAGAAAGACTCAGCTTCGGAATCGATCAAGAACGTGTTATCTAAGAATGGAAGGCTTTCAAGCAGCTCGGATTTTGAGTCAGGGATTGTAGTTTTTGCCCAAGAATCCGATATTATTTGCTCGTTAGGATCGAATAACCCGTCGAAGAAACTATTATGTCTTCAAGAAAACATAAAATAAATAAAGAGATAAAAGAAAGTCTAACATTATAACCATGTAGATTAATATCAGTGTATAATATAAGCGTGTGGACTTACATGTTCAGTAAATCATCATTACGATCGTTAAACTTGTTATCGAAGTTTTGCCATCCGAAATCTGAGATATCGAGGCTAATATTCTCAGTGGGACGTGTGAGCGAGTAGCCGGAGAATACGGTCTCAGCGTTTGTTGGCGAACTCCACCAAGTTCCGGTAGAAATTCCGGCGATCTCAAACTCTCCCGTCATGTTCTTAATTATAAGTTCGGTTTTGTTTTGTTTACTTTGGAAATGATAGAAGTTGCATGAAACATGTTGTTTGTAGCATATCGTATTTATACGTAGGCATGGAATATTATAATCATTAATTAATATTTCTAGCTACCGTGTTAACCATATGTTAAATATTGATCATGATAATGAAAAAAGCGTAGGTTATTGGACTTATTCTTATATATGTTCGTGTTTACGTTGATTTAAAGAATATATGTATATCAGTTTTTGTTGACAAAAAAAATAATTTGTCACTTATAAAATTATAACAGCTCAGAAATTAAAAAATGAAGTTAATATCAGATACTGTTTAAAATGCAGGAAAATTATCATACATAGTCAGTTAGTCACAGACGCATGTTTTAAAAAATCGGAATTCTTATATATGATACTACTAAAGTCCACGATGAACAAGTTTATTGTTTATTCATACTAAAAAAGTTTATTGTTTAATAATTGCACGAATAGCTACTTTTTTGGAAGGATTTCATTTTTTTTTTTGATGTTTGAGGGGAATGGATTAAACAAAAAAAAAGAGTATATATATTTGGAATTTAGTAAAAGTCTATATTTTCTATATAAATTGGTTTTTCCTGCATGGTTTTTTCTGTTTTTAATTGATTTTGTTCTAATTTTAATTATATAAACAATATGAGCACAAATAATTAATTACAATGTACTAGAGAACTGTACTTTGAATCAAAATGTCTTTATAAGCTGTGTTTTTTAACTGTATATTGAATTAAATTTTCTTTATATGCTGTATTTTTCAACTGTATCTATAAAAACCTGTTTTCTTTTGTGGAGAGAAAAAAGGAATTTAGAATTAAGTTTTAAAACTTAGCCGATCGAGAACAGTTTTAAACTTAGCCAAATTTGGTCAGCTGTTGACAAAAGTAGCATAAAGGAAAATACAAAAATTTGATTCCATATAAATGAAGATACTATTAAAAATTCACTTATTGACATTCAAGTAAGATTAGTTGATAGATTATATTAAAAAAAAGATTAGTTAATAGATAACGTACGTTTTGTGTGGATTAAGTCTTACCACCCAATCGAATTCTCTTGGGATTTAGGGTTTGTCTTCATTTTTACTTTGGAAATGTTCCCAAAACTTTTAAAATATGTATATATGTATGCTCATGTCATCTGATTTGACTCCTTAACCACAATTCCACTTTTAGTTAATGGAAATACTTGGTTAAGTTGTCTAACCTCATATTATATCATTATATGTGTATTTTTATTATAGACGCATATCTTGATTTTTTTTAAATAATTCTTCGCGGTCTAAGTCAATTTGGCTTCAGGTAACAAATATTCCTTAAACTAAACATCTCTAACTAATAATATTTTTGAGTTCTGTTACAATAAGACTTAATTATAAGTTTCTTTTTTGTTTTTTTTTTCAGTAAGACTCAAGTACTCCTTCCATTTCATAAACAATGCCATTTTTAAAACTTTTATTTTTGTTTTACAAAAATTATCATTTTATATTTTCGATGCACAATATTAAATAATAATCCACATTTTAAATTTTTTATTTTAATGAATTAATTAGAAAAAAATTGTTATGTGTATTTATAAAGGATAATGTAGAACTTTTTACCATTTTTTTAATAGGTGTGAACTATATCAAAATGATATCTTTGGTAAAACAAGAGGAGTATGAGTTAGTCAGAAATGATTGACTTGCCTCGTTTAGTTACCAATTCAGCAGGTACTATTTATTATCTCACCAAATATTAGATGTAGAGATTAAGATTTTCAATTATATTTATAATAGTAGTGGATTTTTGGTACGTTAAGCTTCTTCTAAGAGATCAAAGTAAATTTTGGGTGCGACTCCCGTTTGATAAAACTTTTTAAGAAGGAAATATCGGTCAACCATATGACGTTTAACCTTAATTAAGCTCATATATAAATTTGTATTTGACTTAGGACATGCCAATCATACGACAGGACCATGGTCTAATCCCTCGTCGTTATGTCCTAAAATTTGTTAGAATCATTGTTTTTTTTTATAATTTAAAATCTGATTTCAGTTGAGAATATCTCGTGGAGTGGGAAGAAAACTTAGAAAAAAGCAAAGAGATTACAAGAAAAGAAAAATTTAGAAAAGTGTTAATGGTTTAAGTGTTCTCCCTTTGACCTAATCACATTTATATTCATTATCTTTACAATATATTTTAAAATATGTTGTTCGTTATATGACGACAAAAAATAATGTCAAGTCATTTTTGTCTTGTCATTGATAAATTCATCAATTTGTCTAAATACTCTTTGTCCCCATTTAATAATATATTTAACATATGTTGCATGAAACGATATGATGATGATGCATGGTGTGATTCAACCTTGCACGTCATCAGAGTTACTGAGTTAACATATGCGGAGTGAAAATTCAGGTGATACTTGACTTAGATTAATTATAAATACATATGAATTATAAAGAATCAAAAGACCCTATACTTCAGAAGAAGAAGAAAAAAAAAACTAAAATTGACTTGACGAGTAAATATCACCGAGAACAATTTGTTAGTGAATACTTTCCAGTTTCAAAATAAGAAATCTTGTATATTCACCTTTTTTTATTGTATGTGACAATGTGTTGTCCAGAAATGTATATGCATCATGCAAGTTTTAGAATCCAAATTGATATATATATATATATATATATATATATATATATATATATTATTCAATAGAGATATGTAATCTCAAGTTAATTGATAACATAACAAATGTTTTAAAAAACTTATAATCCTAAACGGAAGAGGCAAATCGATATCGTTGGTTCTTGTCTTCTTGATTTGTTTTTTAAACAAAAAATGATGACCAAGAATTGGTTTCAATTCCAAACTTCAAAAAACTAGATATACTACTTGGTTAAATCTTGAGACTCATGATATTAGAAATACTCGAATTGATCAGATAGAAAGAGGAGGAAGAAGACAGAGTACTTGGATAATGATAATGATAGCTTCAACAACAATACATTACAGAACAAATCTTTCCTTCTTTAACCGATCTTGGCAAGAACATTGTTCAAACTCGAGACAGTCTCTGAGTAATACTTCTCAGCATCCGGGCTGCTCTTTGACCTCGCCGCATAGTCCAGCTTCCACACAAGAAAAGAACAACAATCTCAGATCGATCCAAACATTAGAAAGAATCTTGTGCATAAAATGGCTGTCGATTAAAGTGGTAGAAAACAAAACCCTAAAAACAAGAAAACTTACGTTGTCGATGGTTTGGAAGAGCTTGCCGGTGAGTTCTTTGAGACTCTGTTTCTCTTCCTTAGGCTTAGCAGAGATAACGGTGTTAAGATCGTAACGGAGGTAAGATGCTCTTAAACGGAGATCGTTCTGAACGTAAGGCCAAGCTTTTTTGTCGATTAATGACTTAACGTTAATGATCTCTTTAGCAGATTCTTTGGCCCTCGCTGCAGCTTCTGTTGGTGACAATGGCTGCAAGTAAAATCTGTCTTTCAATGCCAATGAAAAGTCTCTTGCTTGGTCTGAGTTATCTGTTCCAGCTGCTCACACATACACACAAATCAAAGTCAAAATCAATCAATCATAACCGATCTCGGTTTAAAAATCTAATTAAGACCGGTTTGTGAGATGTCTGGAAAAAATCTAAAAAAAGATTTAAAAAAGGAAAACACCGATTTAATTTAAGGATGATCTGAAAAACCAATACCGAAGCAGCAAAATCGAATTCAAACCAAGTAGATCTACGTTTAAGGTTATTCGGATCGAAAAAACCAAATCGATTCAAACAAGACCGCGACTGAACCGGACTTTTATTTGGTTAGAATGGTTTTATTTCGTCTTAACCAATAACCTAAACTAATGTAGCACCGAACGGTAGGATTGAACACGAGCAATTAATTATTTGATTAAACCAAACAAAGAAGATAAGGAAATACAGATTAGTCCATAATGTGAAATTTAATTGGATCAGTTTTACTTACGGAGACCACCGGAAAGAGGTGGAGGAGGGCCCACTTTAATCGAAAGAGCTTCGGCGAAGACAGACTTAACGAACGAACCACCGGCTAAACCAGCTGCTACGAGCCCTATCACTGACCGGCGACTACTTTCCGGTACAGACTCGTTCTGGTGAGCCCTGATCACAAGTCCGGTTCTTTGAGACCCAACCGTGACTCTGGAGATGTTCAGACGGTTTGAGCCGTTGATCTGGAGGCTTCCTTCAAGAACGGCCTGAGATGCGCCACGTAACCCTGCCATCGAAGTCACTGCTTGAGCCATTCTAGTTTTTTTTGGGGTAATTTGATTAAAGGAGATTTTCGTTTGAGTTATAATTTCTAGTGTTTTTGGTTATGTGACAATGAACACCTTATCTGATTCATCTTCTTCTTTAGATAACTCGGATATGGTTTTAACCACTAATACGTTGCCACGTGTTATCTTGATTCTCAGTTCTGCCACATAGGATTGAAATGAAGTGTTGCCGTAAATGCGATTTACACGTGGCAGCACACCGTGGACGTTGACCAATTCGGTTTAACCTAATTGACCACATTAAAAACCGGTTTAGAAACCGAACTCGTCTGTATTGTACGCTTTTTTGGTCTCACTGATTTTTTTTTTTTGTTAATTATATGAACAATATGTAACGTAAATAAACTAAACCAAACCAAAATAAAGAGCGGAGAAATTTAAATATCGTCCAAATTTTGCTAGAAAATTGGAATATGAACTGAAATTGACTGTAACAACAAAATTTTGAAAGTTTTAAACTCCACTCATTTCAATTTTGTTATCTGTTGTGAAAACTTAGAAACTTTATTAATCACTGGAATGTATATATAGAGTATATAGGGAATCTAGGTTAAGTACAATGCTCTGATGGGCCTAATGGGCCGGTATAAGAGTCCATATATGATATGTGTTATAACACTCCCCCTTGGACGAGTGAACCGGGTCAGCTACTCAATCGGGATCTCGATAATGCGCTGGGGAATGTTGCCTCATTAAAACCTTAACAGGAAAAACCCAGTGGGACAAAACCATGGTGAAGGAAAAAGAGTACAACACGCATTACTCCCCCTGATTGTAGCATCACTGCAGATCTCTAAGTCTATACATTCCTATCTGTTTGACGAGCTTCCGGTGTGTTGAAGTAGGCAATGATTTGGTGAAGAGGTCAGCTGAATTCTCACTGGATCGGACCTGCTGAACGCTGAGAGTGCCGTCCTTCTGCCAGTCTGAGGTTGAGAAGAACTTCGGTAGAATGTGCTTCGTCCGATCTCCTTTGATATATCCTTCCTTGAGCTGAGCTATGCATGCCGCGTTGTCTTCATACATCACCGTGGGCTGTGTGTCTTCGTCCATACCACAATCTCTGCGGATGTGCTGAGTCATGGAGCGCAGCCAGACGCATTCCCTACTAGCCTCATGAATGGCTAGGATTTCAGCATGGTTTGATGAAGTGGCAGTGAGTGTCTGCTTCATTGATCTCCAAGAGATGGCTGTTCCTCCATGCGTAAAAACGTAGCCAGTTTGAGACTTGGCAGTGTGCGGATCTGATAGATATCCTGCATCGGCGAAGCCGACTAACCCATCTTTATTTTGGTTAGTATAGAAGAGTCCTAAGTCTTGAGTACCTCGAAGGTATCTTAGGAGATGTTTTATACCGTTCCAGTGCCTCTGAGTTGGAGATGAACTATATCGAGCGAGGAGGTTCACGGCGAAACATATGTCTGGTCTAGTGTGACTAGCCAGGTACATTAACGCTCCTACAGCACTGAGGTATGGCTTTTCAGGACCAAGGATTTCTTCATCATCCTTTTTGGGACCAAGAGGGTCATCACTTAAGCTTCTAACTACCATTGGGCTGGTCAATATTAAATCGCTTGAGTACCTTTTCGATATAAGCCGATTGATGCACAAGGATTCCTCCTTTGATGTACTCAAGTTGTAATCCCAAACAGTACTTTGTTTTGCCTAGGTCTTTCATTTCGAATTCTGCTTTTAAGCAGTCGACTGTTTGGGAGATCTCACCAGATGTTCCGAGGATGTTTAGATCATCCACGTATACTGCTATGATTACAAATCCTTTGTTTGAGTACTTCTTGATGAAGATGCATGGACTGATGGGGTCATTTTTGTAGCCTTCTTTGATGAGGTAATCGCTGAGGCGGTTGTACCACATACGCCCACTTTGTTTCAGTCCATACAAGGATTTGTTCAGCCTGATGCAGTATTGATCTCGAGATGCATTTTTGTCTTTTAGTTCAATGCCATCTGGGAGTCTCATATATATTTCGTTGTCCAGGGGCCCATAGAGATATGCGGTTACAACATCCATTAACCGCAGATCAAGATTTTCTCTTATGGCCAGACTTATGAGGAATCGGAATGTTGTTGCATCCACCACTGGAGAATAAGTCTCCTCATAATCGATTCCGGGTCTCTGTGAGAATCCTTGTGCTACAAGCCATGCTTTGTATCGAACGACTTCACCGAGTTCGTTCCTTTTGCGCACAAAGACCCATTTGTGGCCCACTGGCTTGATGTGTGATGGGGTCCGGATGATCGGACCGAACACGTTTCTGAGTTTGAGACTCTTTAACTCCATTTATGGCTTCTTTCCATTTTAGCCAATCTGTTCGATGTGTACACTGTGTTATTAACGTGGGTTCTAGATCCTCTTGCGTGAGCGCAACATCAAGTGCTACTTTGTATGCAAAGAGTGCATTTAAGTCGACTTCTTTTCGATTCCATTGTATTCCGGACATATTGTAATTGATGGAGATCTCATTGTTATCTTCTGAACATGGAGATTCGGCGTCCCGAACTTCCATTGAGGGTTCATTAGATTGAGTCTCAGCCGCGGCTATGTCTGATATTGCAGGAATCCCGGTTTCGGTTATTGCACCTTTCTTTGATTTCCGGGGATTCTTATCTTTGGAACCGAGAGGTCTGCCCCGTTTGAGACGTGGTGCAGACTCTGTAGCAACTTGGGTCTGTCCCGTTGGGACAGCTATTCGTACTGGTGCATTACAAGCTGGGATGTACGATTTGGTTACTTTGGTCGGGTCAGCAAAGGAATCTGGCAATTGATTAGCTAGCTTTTGATAATGAATAATCTTTTGGATCTCTGAATCACATTCTAGAGTCCGAGGATCTTGCCAATTTAATGATGTTTGATTCCATGAAAGATCTTTGACCAGCTTGTTTGTCTCACCACCTAAAGAGGGATATACCGATTCATCGAATTGGCAATCCGCATATCTGGCCTTGAAGAGATCTCCAGTGGTTGGCTCGAGATATCTTATGATGGTGGGAGAGTCAAAACCAACATATATTCCCATCCTTCTTTGAGGTCCCATTTTGGTTCGATGTGGTGGAGCAATGGGTACATATACTGAACACCCAAATGTTTTGAGATGGGAGATGTCTGGCTCATGACCCGAGAGTAGTTGGGATGGGGAATATTTGTGTTCACTAGATGGCCGGATGCGTATGAGTTCAGCAGCATGTAATACTGCATGTCCCCATGCTGAGGCCGGGAGCTTTGATCTCATGAGTAATGGTCGGGCTATCCATTGAATGCGTTTAATGAATGATTCAGCCAATCCATTTTGAGTATGGACATGTGCTACAGGATGTTCCACGGTTACCCCCATGGCCATACAGTAGTCATTAAACGCTTGTGAGGTAAATTCACCAGCATTGTCAAGGCGGATAGTCTTTAGTGGGAAGTCAGGGAAATGGGCCCGCAATTTTATGATTTGGGCCAAGAACCTAGCGAAGGCTTGGTTCCGAGAGGACAAGAGACAAACATATGACCAACGGGTCGATGCGTCTATAAGGACCATGAAGTACCGGAATGGTCCGGAAGATGGATGTATAGGTCCACAGATATCGCCCTGGATTCTTTCTAGGAAATGAAGTGTTTGTTTAGAGATTTTAACTGGTGAAGGCCGAGTGATCAATTTGCCTTGAGAACAAGCTGTGCACATGAGGTGTTGAGGATAAGCTCGGTTTTCTTTGAGGGTATGCCCTTGAGAGTTTTGAATTAGTTTACGCATCATATTTGCACCGGGATGACCGAGCCGGTCGTGCCAAATAGTATAATCAGTAAACCGGGCTTTGAGAGTGGTATTAGCTTCAATCATACTGACTTTAGCATGGTAAAGTCCAGTAGAGAGCGCGGGTATGGTTTCGAGGATTTGTTTATGGCCGTCTACGGTTTTAGTGACTAGGAGGGATTCTTTGTTCCCTTGACCTTGGGTTTCTATGTGGAAACCATTCTGTCTTATATCCTTGAAGCTCAGAAGATTTCTCTTCGAACTAGGAGAATATAGAGCATCTGGTATTTCAAGTTGTGTGCCATTTGATAGCAACACATAGGCATGGCCATATCCTTCGATAAGGTTTGAGGGACCCGCGATGGTGCTAATATTTGCGGTTTGATAGGTTAGGTTTATGAAGTAACTTTTGTTTCTTAAGATAGTGTGGCTGGATCCACTATCTACGACTATGGTTTCCATTTGCTGGTGTGCTTTCCACCTTTGGATTTCTGACAGGCTAATGAAACTGGGAGCTAATAGACCTCAGTTAGCCGCTACAAATTCCAAGGATTGATCACCAAAACTGGAGAAGCTGCTGGTTGAAGAAGGAAAAACTCGGATCTGGTTTTTTTTTCGGTTGATCGTCGTGTACTGTAAGTGTACGTGAGGGCGCGTCCGACGTTGAATCGACAAACGGTTTTCACCAGTAGATTCGTCTCGTCGAGGGCTTCGATTTGATATGTAGATCGTCTTCCGGTTCCTCACGGTTTGGAAGATATGCGTCTTTTAAGTTTCGACTTGCTTTTAGGGTTTTGGTGGTGGCCGGATTTATTAGGGTTTTTCGCTCAGAGAATCTTATCGTGCTGATAACGTGTTGTGAAAACTTAAAAACTTTATTAATCACTGGAATGTATATATAGAGTACATAGGGAATCTAGGTTAAGTACAATGCCCTAATGAGCCTAATGGGCCGGTATAAGAGTCCATATATGATTTATGTTATAACATTATCTATATTATAATCCATTTTTTAACATCATCTTCCATTATCCCACTTCTTTTCTCCCTGGTTTTGTTTTCTTAGGATTATGTTATAAACAATTTAGGAAAATATGGGTTAGTTTAACATGGATGGGCCGAGTTTAAAGTCAATAGGCCCATATGGAGCCTATACTTTTTACACTATTTATTATTTTAAAATATTAATGGAATTATTACATTAGTATCGAAAACAAGAGTAACGTTACAAATTTTCCAAGACTCCGCCAGATCTATTTTCAAAATTTGAAATAACAGGCTCCTCCTCCTTCTCCTTCCTCAATCGCTCACCCAAAAAAACATAAAATCCCCAATTACCAAAAAAGGATAAACCCTAATTTCCGGTCTCGAATCGAGAAGAATTGTTGGTCTAATTTCTCCCGGAATCTTGTAATCCAATCGGAGGATTCTCGAAAATTTTGATCTTATTGAGGAGAAGTAGGTGAAGGAATCAATCGAAAGTTTTGATTTGTTTCTCTCGAAGATGCCGCTTCGCAACCAGAATCGCCCTCCACGCAGCCCAAACGCCGTAAGCCTATTTTTCGCTCTTCGTCTTCCACTAATGTCGTACCTTTTGGGTTTTTCGTTGATGAGATTTAGATTCAATTATTAAGCCTTCTTCAACGTCTTTTGAAATTGATTGTGGGTTCTTGCGATTTCGCTTTTGTAATGTCAGGAAATTTGATTTAAGAAAAAAACTGTTTTTCGCTCTTCGTCTTCCACTAATGTCTACCTTTTGGGTTTTTCTTTGATGAGATTTAGATTCAATTATGAAGCTCTCTTCAACGTCTTTTGAATTTGAATCTGGGTTCTTGCGATTTTGCTTTTGTGATGTCAGGAAATTTGATTAAAAAAAAACTGTGCTGGTAATTGATTTTGATATGTTTTTTGGGTGTTTGTTTGTTTCTGAACCATTTTCAGAAGAAGGAATCTGGCTCCGGTATTCCTTTTGACAAGCGAAGGAAAATGGAAACGCAAGGCACTGGAAGAAGACAAGTGCTTTCGACAGTGAACAAACTAGATGTTACGTCGAACAGCGATGTCGGCAGCACAGAGGAGTGTGGTAAAGTTGAATTCACGAAAGATGAAGTGGTGGCTTTGCTTAGCGAGAGAGCAAAAGCTGGAAAGTTTGATACCAAGGTTTGTGAATCGAGATTCATTCTCCGAGATTTCAGAGAAATCTTCTTTTGCCGTTTCACTGATAAAAATGTCTTTTTATTTGGTGCTACAGGGTAAGATTGAACAAATGACTGATATCATCAGGAGGCTTAAGGTTTGTGTTAGATGGTTCCAACAAGTCGACGAAACCCATGTCCAGGAGAAGGAAAATCTTCGCTCTTCTCTGGAATCTGCAGAGAAAAGATACAGTGATAAAGGTGATTTTAGTTTCCTGCATGTCCTGTTTTCAAATCAATTTGTGTACACTGAATGTGGACGTGGTTCCTAATTACTTCTAGAGTTGGGTGCAAAGACCAAAGAGGAAGAGCTACAAGCAATTATAGCAGAGATGAAGGAGAAGATAGCTTCACTACAGGAGAAGTTCTCAAAGGAGGAGTTGAGTAAGTTGGTAAGAACCTCAGAAAATCTTTTATCATTGCGCAGCTTATCTCCCAAAGAGTCTTTTATCAAGTTTCGTTTTATCTTTATTTGTTTTGACTACTAGGATGCAATTGAAAATCACAGAAGAGAAAGCCAATGTAGAGTTGCAGCTGAAAAGCTTCAGGATTCTCTCCGAGAAAAGCTTGAGAAAGCGAATGAAGAGATCATGGCTTCCAACCAGAAGGTACACCAGATTTCTTTTCCGTCACTGTGTTTCATATTATGTAACTCCTTTTAGATATTGGCATAATCTTCTCTTAAATTGGTTGTTCTGATGTTCAGGAGATGTCCCTTAAAGATATTAACACAAGGCTTCAAGAATACAACACAAGTTTGCAACAATACAACACCAAACTCCAGACTGATCTTGAAGCAGTTCGAGAGGCATACACTCGTGCTGAAAAAGAAAAGTCAAGTATACTGGAGAACCTGACTACACTAAGGGGTCACAGTAAATCACTACAAGAACAACTAGCATTGAGCCGAGTAAAAATCCCTAATCTACTACACACGTGATTCTTACATGCCTCAATTTGTTAGTAATTTCACTGTTTGTTAAGTTTTCTCTTCCCTTCTGTGATCAAGGTTTCACAAGATGAAGCAGTAAAAGAAAAGGAGTCATTGCTTATGGAAATCAAGAACTTGCGGAGTGAACTCCAACAAGTTCGAGATGATCGTGACCGTCAGACTATCCAGTCAAAAAATCTGGCTGATGAGATACTGAAGTATAAGGAGAGTGTTGGAAAGTCATCTCACGAATTGGACATTTTGATAGCAAAATCAGGGTCGTTGGAGGTTAGTTCAAAGTAGAACTTTTGCATCTTTGTCTTATATTCAGTTGTCTGAAAGTACCAATATCATGCTGCAGGAAACGTGTTCCTTGCAAAAGGAGCGTATAAAAATGTTGGAGCAGGAATTAGCTTTTGCTAAAGAAAAGCTAAAGGTAATGATGTGCTCAATTATACATTGGATTGGTTAGCAATCTTTCAGATACGCTGATTTTGTGGCTTTACACTGACTTGTTTTTTTTTGCTTTCGACAGATGGTAGATGCATCTATGTCACATACTATGACAGAATTTGAGGAGCAAAAACAACGTATGCAAGAACTGCAAGACCGCCTTGCAGACACCGAGCATCAACTTTTTGAAGGAGAGGTGTTACGGAAGAAGCTTCATAACACCATTCTTGTAAGAACTTATCTTTTTTTTGGCAACAATTTAAGTTCGAACGGCTGTCTTTATGAGCGCTAAGCAAATATTTTATTTCAGGAACTAAAAGGTAACATACGCGTGTTCTGCCGAGTGCGCCCATTGCTACCAGATGATGGAGGACGCCAAGAATCCAGCGTTATTGCCTATCCTACCTCAACTGAATCTCTTGGGAGAGGCATTGATGTGGTCCAAAGTGGTATGTTCAATGACTGACCTTATTTACTTCGCTCAACTAGGATAATTATGCCCGTCCCAGACATTGATTCGTTTTTTCCTGCCTTCTCTATTTGTGTTCTCAGGTAACAAACATCCTTTCACCTTTGACAAGGTGTTCGACCACGGAGCTTCTCAGGAGGAAGTATTCTATGAAATATCTCAACTTGTACAGAGCGCATTGGATGGCTATAAGGTGAATTCTCTTCCTTATTTTGACTATCTTGTAGATGCCTAACATGTAAACCCTTGTTAGATGCAAGTACCTGAATCATGGCTATTGTGCTTATGTTGTTGTAGCTGTTAAATTTATTATAAGCTTTTGTTAGGCAGAAAACTCTGACTGATTCTTTTGTCATTGCACCTTTATTAAATCTTTTTGGCCACAGGTTTGTATTTTTGCATACGGTCAGACAGGTTCTGGCAAAACCTATACCATGATGGGCAGGCCTGAAGCTCCAGAACAGAAAGGACTGATTCCTCGATCACTTGAACAAATATTTAAAACCAGTCAGTCACTTAGTGCACAAGGCTGGAAATACAAGATGCAGGTACATAATACTCCCAGAATGTTCTAACATCTGTTGAATGCTTCACTGCTAGCATTTTTTTTATTTAAGTTCATTTGTAGGTCTCAATGTTAGAGATCTACAACGAGTCCATCAGGGACTTGCTTACTACAAACCGGACAATTGCTATAGAGTCTGTACGAGCAGACAGTAGCACCTCTGGAAGACAGTATACAATCACACATGATGCGAATGGACACACTCATGTCACTGACCTGACGATTGTAGATGTTTGCAGCATTGGACAAATTTCCTCTCTCTTGCAGCAGGCTGCTCAGAGCAGGTTTGTCTTGATTTGTGGGATCTGTTTTTCTTTTTCTTTTTTCTTCTTCGTATCCTACATTCAAGTGTTGCATTAGTAGATAAAGTATTTGAACTACTTTCTGTGGTTTAGGTAATTGCTAGGCATATCCGAGGCATATATGGTAGCATAAAATGGCCTGGCTTTTGAGAATAGTGTTTCACTGTTGTCTGTATTGTTCTGTTACAACAATTTACAAAGCTAAAGCATCGTCAACTCTCAAATTTTCAGGTCGGTTGGTAAGACTCATATGAATGAGCAATCATCAAGGAGCCATTTCGTGTTTACTCTTCGGATTTCTGGTTTTAATCAGGTTAATATCTTAGCATGTCGGGTTGTTTTTTGTTTTGTGTCATAGATTTTATTTTTCCCTTTAATTTATTTTTCTGAAACATCGACACACTCCTGTTTCAGAGCACTGAACAGCAGGTACAAGGTGTTCTTAACCTTATTGACCTTGCTGGAAGTGAGCGACTCTCAAGAAGCGGGGCAACAGGAGAGCGGTTAAAGGAGACACAGGTTTCTGCTTTAAATTTTTACACTCTTTCAAGCTATTCCCATGGAGTTTTTGCACTCACCCTCTAATCCTCGTTCTTTACTTCACCAGGCGATTAACAAAAGCTTGTCTGCTTTGAGTGATGTGATATTTGCATTGGCAAAGAAAGATAAAGATCATGTTCCTTTCAGAAACTCGAAGTTAACATATCTGCTCCAGGTTAGATTTCGTATATGTATAAATATAGCAAATCACGGTGAATGATCTGCACATACTGAACCTATCGGGATCATTCTAATAAAGGAGATTCATTTTTGAACAGCCTTGTTTAGGAGGGGACTCAAAGACCTTAATGTTTGTGAACATTTCACCTGATCCATCGTCGACTGGAGAATCCCTGTGCTCTCTTCGCTTTGCTGCTAGAGTTAATGCCTGTGAGATTGGAATACCTCGAAGACAAACTTCCACAAAACTCCTCGATTCTCGCCTTAGCTACGGTTGAAGTCTGGTGGTATTAGTTTATCTCTCATTTGTATAACACCAGCAATTGTTTGAGAGGTTTGTGATTTCTGATTGTGGTTTTGACATAGTTTTATTTTCTATATCAAGCTCTCTTTAGTTCATATGAATATTTGTTTCGTGATCTTTTGCTTTCCATTTGGTTGTGGAGCCAAATTTGCTATCTAAGCAATGTTGTATGAGGAATTGACCTACAGTTCTTTTTCAGAGCTTCATCAGTTATGTGACTAAAATCCAGAAGCTACATATTCTTTATAGGTCTTAACTATAACACTTCTTGTTCTGTTTCACATACTTTTGGCTTCTGAGTTTTACTCGATATGCTTTTAACATAAGGGTCATATTCTACGCTTCTTTGTTTATTGTCTGAGAATTGGGAGTATTTCTAAAGGGATTGATTAGGAATTGGTCCTTGACTGTTCAGCATCTTGAATTTTACGTGGATGACCATGGAAACATGATGAAGAAGTTCTCAAGGAAGCAGACCTACATTGCTTTCTTGAATCTGAATAACTATCACACATTTCTTCTTCGTATATCTTTCTTTGAATGTTTTGTTTCTTGCTCTCCTTAGGCTTTAAATGTGAGGATAGGAAATCGTGTGGAAATAAAAGCAAATATATGCATTGATTGGGGCAAGCTAACATAATATTTCATTGAAAAATTCCTTATAACATTCATCGATCCAAAGTTGGCTTCGGTATTTCTTCTTGAATTAGTCGAAACAAGAACCTGAACCTGATTAAAACAGAGCAGAAACAGAGCAGGACTCTGCTTTTGCTTCTGAAATACATTGTTTATTCATACAAAACTGTCCCAATTCATTAATGGAGAGAGAAGACTGTTGAAGCTAATATTTCGAGCAAGAGGAAACCATAACTTATTATATTAACCAAACTCAAGAAATTTCCAAATCCGAGGGTCATTTTAGGTTCAAGACTCTGCCAATTGCTTTGAATTTTTTTACTTTTACAAAATTTGTATCTTATGTTATCTTAATATTTATATATATTAAACTCAAAAGATCATACATTTGATGAGAAAAAGAAAAAAAACCAAACTCTCAAATCCAAATTACAAAACCTAAAGAAACCAAAATCAATCAAAAGAAGAAAAAAGAAAAAAGTAAAAAATACAAAACAGAAAACAGAAAAACCAACAAATCAATCTAAGTGAAGTAAACCGGACACCGTTTATGGTTAAGCTTGGGCAAGATCAAACCGTCTCGACCAACAACGATATCGCAGTTAGCATGCATCCTGTGGTGCTTACTGATCCACTTAGACAATTTAAACCGAATAATCGAAACTATCTCGAGTCTAAAAGCCACCGTGCCTCGACCACGATCATTAGTAAACTCTGTCCAACGGTTACTATTAACCGTTAACGAAGCTCCCGTAAGCGTACCGGTCACAATTGTCGTGTTAGTCGGCTGCTGAAAAAACGGGTTTAGCAACGGGCTTGACCCGACCCGTTGATCTTTGTAGTAAATGAAACCGTCCATGGAATCAAAGTAAACACCCATGTGTTGGTTTGGGTTAAGTATGGTTACGTTGAAAGCAATTCTTGCGTTCTCGAAACCGGCAGGCTGGTCAAGACCTTGGACAACGAAGTCTTGGATGTGGAAACGAGGTCGATGAGGGCGTAAACTGAGCCAGAGTATGAAAGCAATGATGCCTACAAAGAAAAGAACCAAGAGAAACATTGCGCAGATGAATTTAGATATTCGTGTTGAGAGACTTTCTTTGACTCGGTGAACGTAGTAGCTAGCCGAATGGTGACGCTTCATGGGTTGGGTTTGAGCCCGAGGACTGGCTCGGATCGGGATAGCTGCCCTGTCCGGTGACATTTTTGTGCTTTGAATGATTTTTTTTGGGTCCGTGTAGGATGTTTTGAGGAAGAAAGTTTGGAGTGTAGGGATTATGTATGAAGAAGAAGAAGAAAAGGTAATAGTTCTTGAAGTGTTTGGAGAAGAAAGGAATCGGATTACGTAAAGTGAACACATTGCATTGGAAGCTCTTTTTTTTTTTTTTAAGAGAATCTTATAAAGTCTGTGAATACAACTTATTGAAGCTGTTATCATTTGATTTAAACAAAAACATAATGTCTTAGTTCTAGTTTCAATCTTTCTTTTTTTTGGTCACACGCATATGAGGTCATAAGGATTATTGACTCTTAACCTTGGATCACTATAAAAATAAGAGTTAGATATGATTTATATAAATAGAAACACGTCAAAGATTAATAAAATTATTTTAAAAGAAAAAACTTCGTATGATATGATTATGATCTAAACGAAAAAGCTATCTAAAAGACTAAAATTCGAACCTAGATTTGCATCATGTTACTGTTACGATTCCTATCCAATAATATTTTTGGTTACATTTTCAAGACTGAACATTTTTCTGTTCTATTAAAAAAAAAAACTTTTACTAATGATGTAAAAGAGAACAAAAAAAAAGAAGAAGATATTAATTTCAAAAATAGTAAATTGAGTAAGGAAGGGAAAAAGAAAAGCAAAAATAATGAAAAAGGATTAGGAATCCATGGAAATAAGTCAGTCACATTATGAGGAAATTTTCGTTACAAAAAAGGTCCGAAGTTGACATCAAAATGTAACTTTCTTCTTCAACAGACTCCAGTGATCTGGAAAGACCATTGATATAAGTATGGATGTGTTCTTCGAGACTCAAAGAGGCTCAACGTTCTGCATTGAACTGGGTTACTGGGAGACAGTGTTAGAGATCAAACAAAATTAAGATCGAGAACTATCAACGTATCCCTGTGTCCAAACAAACCCTTTTCTTCCAAGGCAATGTTCTTCAAGACGATCTTGACATCGAACAATGTCAGATTCTCCACAACTCTCGTCTCCAGCTCTTCATCTCTTCTCCTGGTAACAACAACGACCAAAACCACATCAACCAAGTGTTCAAAACAGAGCAACAATCTCCACCGCAAAACACAACAGAACAGATCATCACCGGTCATAGAGATTCGACTGTGACGATGGCTGTGAGCAACAACAACAGCAATCCAAAGAAGCTGAGAGTAATGGTGCTCCCTAAATGCGGGACAAGGAAGATTCCTGTGGAGGTGAACGCGAGTGATAACGTAGGAGAGCTGAGGAAAGAGCTGGCTAAGATTCAACAGAGGTTTCAGGTAAGTCTGCCTCAAGAAGGTTATTTCTTTATACACAAACAGAATGTAATGGACGATGACTGGTCATTCCGGTGGCACCGTGGCGATACTATTGAGATTTTCAATGGAAGTGTTTCTGGTGGCTCTTTATCCAGCATAACTCTCTGAAACATCTTCCTTATTTATAGATTTTCAGTCTTTCTTGAAATACTTAGTCAAATTGTCTTGTTTTCAGACCTCTAGTTATGCAAATATATTTAGCAATATCTAAGACATGGAATTACGTACCAATAAGATGACATTTGAATAACTTGTTGTTATTGCCTAACCTCTTGTCGAAAGCAACGATTAAGCTTCAGCTTGAGCTATGTACAGTCTTCAAATAAACTTTCCGATCAATGAGCTAAAAAAGCTGGCGTGTTGCGTGCATTACAAGAAAACACAGATCTTTGGCAGAGTGCAGAAGCAAGAATCTCAAAGAGGAATGACACACAAGTGATCGAATCATTATCTATATGGAACGAGTAATAGACTTGCTTTTTTGAATGACCAGGCTCCGTTCCGTGGACTAGTAGGTTTCGATTCAGATCAGTTCTTGAAGAACAATCCAGGTGATAGAGAGGCACAAGAAAAGTAATGAAGCTATTTGTGAGTATCTAGAAGATTGAATCTAATGACTTCGTCCCTTATTTCTCATAAGCATAAATTCATAAGCAGGCTTCTATAAAAAGTTTGGTTTTGAGCTCACGTACATGTTACTAAGTTGCAAACTGCAATATCCATATATGTTTGAAAATGCTACTTTTCTCGCCAGTAACAAACATCAAAAATCTATACGTCTTGTCTAGTCTATCCGAATAATTGCTTTGATAGGATATCCGATATCGTCTGAGAAAAGATGAATCAAGCTTAAAACTTTTAAATCGGGGAAGAACACAAATTTAAATGCGGCGTTCATAAAAATGTCTTAAACACAATTTGAGGTTGAATAGCACACAAAATTTGGATCATTTTGGTTTGAAAAGCTATTCAAGGGTTATGAGGCTTTCTTTTACTTAAGAAACACGTAACCAAGATCAGGTAAAATTGAGCCAGGCCCATTTGATACGTGAATTAAAAAGACGAAACTTTCGTTACAACATATCAAAACTCTCTTCACTCTCTTCTTCACCAGTTTCCATGAATCTTGAAACACCATTGATAACAATTATGGATCTGTTCTTCGAGACTGAGAATGGCTCAACGTTCTCCATTGAAGTGGGTTACTTTGATACAGTCTTTGTCAAAAAGAAGATCGAGAAGTATCAACGTATCCCTGTTTCCAAACAAACCCTTTTCTTCCAAGGCGATTGTCCTCTTCAAGACGATCATGATATCAAAAAATGCAAGATCTTCAATATAACTCTCATCTTAAGGTCTTCGTCACTCCTCTCCGTAACGCTAATCACAACACCGATCAAGTGCTTCAAATCAAGCAATCTCCAGTATCATTGTCAAACTCAGTTGGAGACTCATCTACGGTCAGGATTTGCCTTTGACCACCGAGCATTTCTTGAACATTCAACGCTTTTACGGCGATGAAATCCCGCCGGTGACGGTGGGAGGCAAGAAGAACAGTAACCAAATGCTTCAAACCGAGAAATCTCCACCGTTAAAGTCAGCAGAACAGATCATCAACGATCAAGATTTGCCTGTGACGGCTCAAAAGCTTCAAAGCGAGCAATCTCCACTGTCAAACTCATTCAAAGATATCGTTAAACTTCAAGATTCGCCAGCGAAGGGGAGGAGCAACGAGAAAAATGATCAAGAGCGTCAAACCAAAGAATCTTCACCGTTAAACACAGTCAAAGAGATAGTTAACCTTCAAGAATCGCCTGTAAAGGTGAGTGATAGGTTCCAAGGAAGGGTCTATGAGAGACAGAGGAAGAAGAACGTTACAAACGTGGAAGAGGGAAATGGCAAATGAGAATAGAAGAAAAGTCAAAGTGACAGTTTGACTTGGAAGACTCTAGTTGTTTTAGAGTATTTGCTGTTTCTCCTCTTTCCTTGTAGCTTTCATTCTTTCAAAAAGTTTCTTGCTTTCTCCAAACTTTTTGTTTTCCGTTTCTGCAAAATGTTGGGATAACCGATCAGGAAGTTGAGCTGAAACTGGGAAATTTGACTTCTTGTCGAAAGCAAGGATCAAGTTTCACATTGGGCTTCGTGCATTCGCCAGAAAAAAAAAAAGCCTTCCGATCAGGTGATAAAGATGAAATTTATCAATGATCAAACGTTTTACATCAAAAGATAGTAATTTTAGCTCGAGCATCTGTTAATCACCTAACCACCTACACAAGCGTGTTTACTACTAGTCCTACAAGATCAAATGTTTTGCACAAATGTTCAAACTTTGTTGACAGTAATGGTAGCTCAAGTATCCGTTTATCCAAATCTGCCTTGCAAGATTTAATGACTTAGCACATACATTGAAAATACGCTGAGCTCAAACATTGATTGCAGCAAACAACAATTTGAAAATCTACAAGCAAAAAAACAGCATAGCCACAGAGAATATTAGCCATTATGAGCTAGAGAACTCACTTCCAGACACATTGAGTGTCTGTGTGGTGTCAATGGAGAAACAATCTAGAAATCTCCTGCGACATCAATGCAAGTACTTCAAAATCATATCTTTCATAGACTGAAGGAAAAGAGAAGATCTTATCAAAAAAAACGACAAACAATGTGTCTTAATAAGTTTAGTAGCATCAGAACAGAAGAGCCGAAGAAGAATCTCAAAAAAAACGACAAACAATGTGTCTTAATAAGTTTAGTAGCATCAGAACAGAAGAGCCGAAGAAGAATCTCAATCATGATGGCTTATGGTTGTGCTTACGCAGAGTTAAAACATTTTACAACCAATTCGATTTCTCAAACAACCACAGAAAATGAGGTGAAACGGAAACTTCAGAATGAAATGTCATCTAATTAACATCGAGACGAAAAACCATAACAGAAAGAAAAAAACGAAGAAGAGTACGCCTGAGAGAGATGAATCACACAGGCCAAAAAGAGTGAGAATCGAAATAGGGGAAGAACAGAGCCGGGTCAACTTTTCGGGTTAATGGGCCCGGTCATTATTTTTAACTTTTTCGCGGCTGTTTTGTGTCAACACGCTTAAAATATTGGTTAGAGGCCCAAACGAGGTCCATTTTCTTTTAGACCGTTTATGAACTTGATAAAGGAAATCATTATCGGATGCAAAACATGCAAATATCCTTTTTTTTTAATGGGAATAATGGGATGTCTCCGGAAGGGACAAATACAATCATGCAAATGTCCAATCGCTTTAAAATTTCCAAGAAGTTGGTTATCTTTTCCGGGAAAATATATTCTCTACTATAAAATAAAAGTTAATAACTAAAAAAAAGCCAACTTGCATAAAAGAAGAATCAACTAACAAAAAAAGAAAAGGACATCAATTATCGTCCCAAAACAAAACAATTCACCACAAAAAAAAGTAAAGTGGGACCCAAAATTCAATGTTGGCATTTTAAGCACCACCGTTGATTAAAAAAATAGAAAGATAATAGCATCGATCATAACGATCGTTAAATCATAACGTCGGCTTCTGTTACGGCCGTTGAGAAATTTTGTTTGTCGACGCGTTCGTAAGAGACGGCGTTAAAAGAGGTCGCAGACGGCACACGGGTCGTAGTTATCAACTCGAAGCACAGATACTTTTCCTGACCTAAAATTTTAGGCAATATTATTAAGCAAGCGAAGGTTGCGTGTAAACAACGCCGAATACACGTGTCTATTTTTAATTGCTTATCGCTTCACCGCCTTACCTTTCTCGTGACCTAGTCGTCCTCGGCCTTTACTATAAATCAATCCTCTAAGACCTCTTCTTCTTCACAATTCGATTTCCAAATATCAAAAATCAATCTCACCAATTCTCTTTTCTTAATAGCGATTTACGATCAAGGTAAATTCCGTGCTCCTTCCTCGATTACGTGTTTCGTTCGATCGCAGCAACTTTCTCTGCTCTGGATTCGATTTGATTCTGTATTCGATTCGGTTATAGATCCTCCTTGATCTTCGATTACGTGTTTCGTTCGATCGTAGTTGATTCACTTTCTTTGCTCTGAATTCGATTTGATTCTGAATCCGATTTGATTCGGTTATAGATCCTCTCTTGATTTTCGATTAGGGTTCGTGTTATTCCTAGATTTGTGTTCATATGCGTCGATCTATGATTTTTATTCTGATTCGTGTTTGCACGATCGGATTTTGATATTGAAGCGATTTCTCTGAATAGGTCTGGGTTTGCTTTCATAATTAGGTTGTTGATTTTGGCTTCTCTGAATTTCAGATGCAGATCTTTGTTAAGACTCTCACCGGCAAGACTATCACCCTCGAGGTGGAAAGCTCTGACACCATCGATAACGTTAAAGCCAAAATCCAGGATAAGGAAGGAATTCCTCCGGATCAGCAGAGGCTTATCTTCGCCGGAAAGCAGTTGGAAGACGGCCGGACTTTGGCCGATTACAACATCCAGAAGGAATCCACCCTTCACTTGGTCCTCAGGCTCCGTGGTGGTATGCAGATCTTCGTCAAAACCCTAACGGGAAAGACGATCACTTTGGAGGTCGAGAGTTCTGACACCATCGACAACGTGAAGGCTAAGATCCAAGACAAGGAGGGAATCCCACCAGACCAGCAGAGGTTGATCTTCGCCGGAAAGCAGCTCGAAGATGGCCGTACTCTTGCGGACTACAACATCCAGAAGGAGTCGACCCTTCATCTAGTGCTCAGGCTCCGTGGTGGTATGCAAATCTTCGTGAAAACTTTGACCGGAAAAACCATCACTTTGGAGGTCGAGAGCTCTGACACCATCGACAACGTGAAAGCCAAAATTCAAGACAAGGAAGGTATCCCACCGGACCAGCAAAGGTTGATCTTCGCCGGCAAGCAGCTTGAGGATGGACGCACCTTGGCCGATTACAATATCCAGAAGGAGTCAACACTTCACTTGGTTTTGCGTCTTCGTGGTGGTATGCAAATCTTTGTGAAGACTCTCACCGGCAAGACAATCACCCTTGAAGTCGAGAGCTCTGACACTATTGACAACGTGAAGGCCAAGATCCAGGACAAGGAAGGCATCCCCCCAGATCAGCAGCGTCTCATCTTCGCTGGAAAGCAGCTTGAGGATGGTCGCACATTGGCCGATTACAACATTCAGAAGGAGTCGACACTTCACTTGGTCCTCCGTCTTCGTGGTGGTATGCAGATTTTCGTCAAGACCTTGACCGGGAAGACCATCACTTTGGAGGTTGAGAGCTCCGACACCATTGACAACGTGAAGGCCAAGATCCAAGACAAAGAAGGCATCCCCCCAGATCAGCAGCGTCTCATCTTCGCTGGTAAACAGCTCGAGGATGGTCGCACACTTGCTGATTACAACATTCAGAAAGAGTCGACTCTTCACTTGGTCCTCCGTCTTCGTGGTGGTTTCTAAATCTTCTTCATGCTATGTTCTAAGTCATTACTCTTTTCAGTTTCTCTAAAAATGTCTCGTGGTTTGTGTTTTGGGGTCTTGACCTATGTTTGCTTCTTTCTTTCTCTTATCTAAAGACAAATCCAATCTCTCTAAATTGCATTTTATCGTCTTAAATGGTTTCTTCCGTTAACTCTCATGAATGGGAGAGATTATGGTTCAATGTTATATTGTAGAAGAGCTTATTGTTCGACTTTCTTAACCGGAAAGTGATCTTGTCCTGTAACATTCCGGAAAATTCGTAATTGTTCAAAGTGTTTACATTATGCTTATCTTTTGGTTGAATGCGGTGAAACTTATCTGTCTGCTTAGCTTTTACGAAGGTGTTGCAACTGAGACAGGTGAACAGTTCAGTGTATTCACATTCTGTGCTTATGGGACATCTTCACTTGTGTCCAATCCTTTTAAGTGTGGTTGCTCATGTTCAGGAGGTAGGAAGATTGAAAATTTCAAAAACGTGGGACAATCCATGAGACGCTTGAGAGGAAACTCTATGATGACAAGTCGATCGATACGGTTCTTGGTTTAATGAAGGGAGAATACGTTTTCTTCCTTCAAAATGTGTTTTATGACTTCATCTGTTAATCCTGTGGTGTGTTTCTTCTGCAAAGTTTGAAGCATTTGATCAGATGACTGGTAATTCATTGGTGATCACAGGTTAAGAATGTTGTAAATCTTGAATATCGAACAGGGAAAGATCTTCGACAACACTCGTCTTCAGGTCTTCGTCTCTCCTTTCCGCAACTCTGATCACACTCGTCTTCAGGTTTCGATTCAGAGATTACTGTGTTGAGCATAAGTCTTGTTGCTTTTCAGGCAACTTACGAAAAAGGAACCGATGAAGAGATTGCTGAGTTTATTTACCAGACCTTGGATGTGAATGGCAATGGGGTCTTGACAAGGTAATCGATCGAGGCTCTTAAGAGATTTTCTTGTGGATTCAAGTTGCTTTTAGGTGATCAAGCTTAATTATCTGTCTGTTATATGTCCATTATTGGGTCTCTTCATCCAGTTAATAACTCAACAAATTCTCAGGTCAGATGGCTATTCTGCTGTTTCTGACATTCTAATATGTCTTTTCAGTCCGATTTAGAGTTGGTCTTGGTGGTGATCTTCAAGAGTGTGTTCTCCACTAAGAGCTCTGATGTGGAATCAAGTGATTACAGTGAGATGGTGGATTCACTCCTCAATGCCGCTTCTTTCTCGAAATCCGATGATGCTTCTAATAAAGGAATGTCTTTTGAGGATTTCAGAAGCTGATGCTCACACGTTCCAACTATCAAAAAGTTTCTCGGAAGCCTGCTTATGCCCCCGGGTCCAGGTTTATTATTTTTTTAGCTTTCTCCCGTCTTAACACATTTCTTGTTGACAAGATGGTAACATTTCTTTATTCCTCGTATAGCGAGACCACCGGGATATCAAGTCCCGCATCTGGTTTATGAGGATAGTTTGGATTCAAATATACCCTTGGCATATCGGAGGAGCTCTTCCTCACCACGAGCTTGCAGAGTGGAAACTGCTGTATCACAGTTCCTTACACGGTCAAAGCTTTAACACATTCCTCGGACACACATCGTGAGTGTTTTGCAACTGTAACCATAACATGATCTACCTTACATCCTCTTGACTGAGTAGAATCAAGACAAAACTTTTTTTCTTTGGATTCCTAATGTAATATCTTGCAGACACACTGGTATGTCTGCGTCGGTTTTAATCATCAAAGATAGAGAAGGTTGTCTGTATGGAGGATACGTCTCTCAACCTTGGGAGAGATACAGTGATTTCTACAGAGACATGAAGTCTTTTCTTTTCCAGTTAAACCCTAACGCATCTATTTTTAGACCAACTGGAGCAAACACCGACATTCAATGGGTATGCCTCTACAGACACTCTGTTACTACTATATGTGAGAATGTGATTAGATGCATATTCTAACATATGTAAAAACATGGGCTGTGTGCGACCAATTTCACATCGGAGAACATTCCAAACGGCAGAGGATTTGGAGGAAAAGTCCATCACTTTGGTCTGTTTATATCCGCAGGCTTCGATCAAGGCCACTCGTTTTCCTGCACGACATTTGGTAGCCCGAGTCTCTCCAAGACAAGCTGAACACAGCCAGAAGTGATAGAATGCTGGGGTTTCAGGCCTCAAAGGAACTAGACACTCAATCAAACGCCATGAAAGGCACTGTTCTTGACAGGTTTTAAGAAGATCGCAATATGCTCCAGCTAGTCGGCATGGCAGGCAATTCGAATGAGTGAAAAACAAAAAACAAAAAAGGATTTTGGTTCTGAGATTCTATCTTACACAATGTGTGCGTGTGCAAATACATTATGTGTATCATAAATAGTATTTCACACATTTTCAAGGTTGAAGCTTATGTTTGATGACCAATGTGAAGTACCCAGGTCGCGCCTATGGGTATAGAAATAAAACATTGGTCTTCGGCCCATTTTCTAATAAATTTGTGAATGTTTTATTTGATTAATTACTAACTTTTAATTTTTACAGTATCAATAGAACAAAAATTAGGGTATCAATAGAACAAAAATTAGGATAAAATTGTCTCATATGAACGCCTAATCAATTAGATAAATTAAGTTTTAAATTTATTAATTCACCATTTTCAACTATCGCTAAAGTTTTGAAAACTTGTGCATTTTTTTGCCATAACAATTACATTTTCAATTTGTTAATTTTGTTAAATATTTATATTAGTTATAAATTTCTTTCATCTAATATTAGATTTTGTTTTATTTGTAACTTAGATTAAATTAATAAACAATCTCAAATAATTGGCTAATTTATCAAGTTTTAGAAAGTATGTTTTGAATTTTTAGATATGTATGGTAGTTTTGTGAATGGAAATGATCAAATGATTTTAGTGGAAATTGATAAAGTATTAACTTCATTCGAATATGTAACAAGAGAGATTGAGTGATTTGACTATTTAATCGATCAAAAGAGATCTGGTTAAAAGTTTGGTTTTGAAAGTTTGATTAGTGAGTTTGTAAAAATGAATGAGAGAAAATTTTGTGTGTTTAATAAACTTTTGTTGTTTACTATCATTTTTATTTATTGTTGGATACATGATGTAAGTTATTATTAGTTTTGTACGAAATTAGGACGATGATATTATTAATTTTTTGTTCATTGTATTCTTTTTATTTTTATACCTTTTCCGAATTCGGCACGACTTTAGATTCATATCTGAAGTAGTGGTTTTTCTCATCTTTCGTATCCAGCTTCTAGATTTTCCCAACTGGTTTAACTAAGTAATTGAACTTCTCATAAACGTTTAGTGTCTGAGCCTTAACCTTAAATGCATCAATCACCAAATTTCAGAAATCACCATATGTCTCGCAAAAATCACCAGATCTCCTGCAGAAATCATAAAGAAAACATACGACTCCTCGACTCCGCTCATGATCTGAGAACAAATAAACACGTATTTTGGAATACATGATTTATAACCCATAAACATATAGAACATTTTCTATGGTTTATAAAATATTATAGTACAAATGTGCATATATGTAGGTGCTTAAAATATATGTTTTATAAATCATAAACACGTAGAATATTTTTTTATAGTTTATAAAATATTATAGTACAAACTTGCATATATGCAAGTGCTTAGAATACGTGTTTATGGTTTATAAAATATAATAGTACAAACCATAAACACGTAGAATATTTTTTATGGTTTATGGTTTATAAAACACGTTATACATTTTATATAATTTATAAAATATTATGGTACAAATCTGCATATATGCATATACTTATCTAGTATTAATCATAAAAAATAATTAAACAAAAAACAAAAAATAGAAAACTTAATTTTATTCTAAAAAATAAGTTAATAAAAGAATTTTTTTTGTTTTAGTTTTCACATTTAGAATAATAAGACTAAAGAATGAATTACTAATTTTTAAAAAAAATTTATTTTTCATTTCTATATAAACAGTTTGATAATTTGATATTAATTATTTCACAAATGATCTGATTTTTAGTTTTTGTTTATAGTGTTATTACGGTTAAAATAATTAACTATAAACTCGCATATATAAGGATCCTTATCTAGTATACAATATTTGAGATTCTGTGCAGAATCAATAATCATATAGATCGCTCTTATTTTGATTGAAGCAAATAGTGAAATGAAGAGATATGTTACATAGATGAGTTTACAAAATAATGAAAGGTTTTACTTTTGACTTTTGAGATTGACAAAATATAAAATTTAGGCTTGGATCTAAGATGAATTTACTAAATAAAGCAAAACCAAACCGAGTACCCAAAAAGAACTAACACAGCCTGCCGACCGGTTGATAAAAAACGTCATAAAGCCAAGCAATCTCCATTTACCGTCAAGCTAAATTGGAGGCATTATTTACGGTCAAGACTTGTCTTTGAAAATGAAAACTTCACGAAAAATCTAGCTTTTTGCCCCGTGACTATTGAAAAAATCATCAACGGTAAGGAACAACGAGCAAGTGATTCAACCCGAGCAATTTTCACAGTCAAACTCAACAGAACATATCATCAATGATCAAATTTGATTGTCACAGCTCAAGTACTTCAAACCAAGAAATCTCCATCATCAAACTCAATCAAAGAGATCATTAACGTTCCAGTATTTATGTTGCCATATTCTGGAGAGAGTAAAGCAGAGAGTGAGATTTTGGTGGATGTGAACCTGAGGGCAAACGTAGAAACACTGAGGAAAGAGTTGGTTAAGATTCAGCAAACGCATCAGTTAAATCTGCCTCAAGAAGGGGATTTCGTTATCCACAGTCAGTGACATATTCTGGTGAACGGTGTTAATCATGGAGATACAATTGAGATATCTCCGGGACATATTACCCGGTGGCTCTTAGGTCACCACTCTTTAGATTAAAAAAAAGCTTTGTAGCAGTATTGTAATTCAATACATAAATAAAACAATAACTATGATAAATTGTGCAACGGTATATCAGTATATGCCTGTTTATGTGTAATAATGCAGTGGTGTTAAAAAGCTTGAAACGGTGCGTTTTTCTAAGGGTGCGATTTTGGAGGCGATTAGGGCTTTTGCCCTTTTCTTCCATCTCAAGTTAGCTCGCCGACGCAGCTACGGTGGCGATGGCCTCGCTGGAGGCTCCGGGGATCCTCCAACACAGCCTCTGTCTACGCAGGCAGCTACCTTTGCTTAAGTGGTGCAGAATAAGAATGTTCTAAAGCAATACGAAGTGGTGATTTCAGATGACGAGGGTCATGGTTCAGTGGAAGTGCCTGATGAGGTTTTCGAAAATGCTTCGCCCTTATGGGAAGATTTCGTGATCGGAAAGTTTTTATCGGCGGCGCCTCATGTCGCTAAAGTTCATGTGATCGTGAACAAAATTTGGAACCAGGGTGAAAACTCACAGAAAGTGGATATTGAGGTAATCAACTCCACAACGATGAAATTCAAGATCCCAAATCCGCAGATCAGAGCCTGTGTTCTGCATCGCGGAATGTGGAATATTGCAGCGATCCCTATGGTCGTAACAAAGTGGTCTCCCTTCACGGAGGAAGATATCCCGGAGCTGACGTCTATTCCAATGTGGGCGCACTTGCGAAAAGTTCCCATGAACATGTTTTCCTGGAAGGGATTGAGTTTTATCACCAGCACAGTTGGGGAACCAAAACATCTCCACCCAGAAACTGCAGCTTGTTCAAGTTTTGAGATAGCAAAGGTGTTTGTCAATGCAAATCTCACTAAAGAATTGCCCAAGACAATAAAATTCTCTAAAAATGGCAATGAATCACTGCTGGAATTCTCATACCCCTGGCTTCCACCAAAGTGCAACACGTGTAACAAATGGGGACATTTAGTTTCGTCTTGTGTGATTCATAAGAAAAAACGGGTGGATGATAGTATTGAGGAGGAAACTGCAGAACCAGAAGAGGGTGAAATCCGCAAAGAGCCTGAGGAGGTTCTTACACTTCAGACCAAATCAGCCTCGGTAGAGGGTGTTGAACTTATTGAAAAAGGGGATAATAGCGAGAGTGCAGAGAACACAGCTGATAAAGCAGAGCAATGGACAACCGTTTCACCTGCAAAGGGGGGCAGAAGTCCAAAAAAGATGCATACGGTGGCTGATGAAGCTCATATTTCTGCATCAAAGTTTGATATCCTCAGCAAATCGGGAGAGGAAGGGGAAATTTTAGAAGAGGAAGGGCAGGTGACCACTGACATCCATCAGCAATCTGTTCCTCCAACGATCCATCCGCAAAAACAAAAAGAGCAACACTCGGGAAAACCTGAAAGAGACAATGTCGAAGCTACTTTGGTAAGACAATCTCTTCCACGTGATTCCAAAAACAAGCACAAGTTCTTGGTGGAGACTTCTACTCAGGCATCTAAGGATACCCTTACTGCTGTGGGAAAAAAAGTCTCTCGCAAAAATAACTAAATGTCGAGTTTCTGTTGGAATGCGCGGATTCAACAAAACCTTTAAACATTCCATAGTTCGGGACTGGTTTCGGGAAACAGATATGCAGTTTGGTTGCTTGTTGGAGACGAGAGTAAGGGAAATTAAAGCTGGGAAGATTGTAGGTTCGCATTTCAGGGACTGGTCTTTCATGGCAAACTATGAATATAATCATCTTGGACGCATTTGGATTCTTTGGAGACCAACGGTTCGCTTGTCCCCTGTTTTCAAAAGCGAACAGATGGTAACCTGCTCGGTGTTAGCTGATGGAGCTGAAGAAGAATTTTTCTGCTGTTTCGTCTATGCACTGAATACGATTGAGGGGAGAAAGAGTCTGTGGGAAGATATGAAACATCACCAAGATTCACCAATGTTTCGTAATAAACCTTGGATGATCATGGGTGATTTTAATGAGATTTTGGAGACTGAAGAGCACTCCAATTTTGAAAATTCGCCAAACATCTCAATGGGAATGAGAGATTTTCAGGAAGTTGTAAGGCATTGCTCTTTACCTGATATGGGAGATCATGGACCACTTTTCACTTGGTGCAACAAGCGGGAAAAGGGCCTCATTTGCAAAAAACTTGACCGAGTTTTAGTAAATGACATATGGCTCTATCATCACTCGCAAGCTTATTGTGTGTTCGAGTCAGGGGGCTGTTCAGACCACTTGCGATGTCGGATTCAAATGGGTTCTCAGGGCACAAGGAAGAAGCGGCCATTCAAATTTATTAATTCAGTCGGAGGAATGGCTGAGTTTGCACCATTAGTTGCAGAACACTGGTCTAAAACAGAGGCGCTTTTCCACTCCACCTCTGCTCTATACCGATTTTCGAAAAAGCTGAAAACCTTGAAACCGGGCATTCGGGACTTGAGTAAAAGGAAGTTTGGGAACTTAGCGTTAAGATCAAAGCTGGCTTTTCAGGCGCTGTGTGAGAAGCAGGGCGCAACATTTATAAACCCGACACCAGATCGTATAAGAGAGGAGGCAGAGGCTTTTGAGAGGTGGCAGAGGGTAGCAACTCTTGAGGAGGAGTTCTACAAACAAAAAGCTAAATTACACTGGTTAGAGGTTGGTGATCAGAACACAAAGGTTTTCCACAATGCAGTTAAGGTCAGAGAGGCAAGAAATGGCATAAGGGAGATTCTATGCTCAAATGGTGACATCGTGAAAACTCAGGGTGAGATCAAAGAGGAAGCCGAGCGCTTCTTTCATGAGTTTCTCACCCACAAACCTGTTGACCTGGAGGAACCATCGATTCATAAATTGGAGGAACTGCTAGACTTTCGCTGTACGGCTGAGGATAGTAACCTACTTGTGAAAGAAGTGACAGAGGAGGAAATAACAAAGGTTCTGTTTAGTATGCCATCGAACAAATCTCCCGGCCCTGATGGGTATACTAGCGAGTTTTTTCGAGCAGCCTGGAAAACGATTGGAAAAGACTTTATTGTCGCTATTTGTCATGAGTATGAATGTTCTGACAAAAATGCTTGATGCTGCGGCAAAGAGAAGGGAAATTGGCTATCATCCTCGTTGTCAAAATCTCTCTCTCACTCACTTATGCTTCGCAGATGATGTTATGGTTTTCACAGATGGGAAACAAAGATCGATCGATGGAGTTCTAAAGGTCTTCCGCCAGTTTGCAAGGCTATCAGGTCTTCAAATCAGTGTGGAAAAATCGACGATCTATATGGCAGGTATATCACAAACTGAGCGAGAAGCCATTCTTGCAAATTTTCTTTTTGCCTCAGGTCAGCTGCCTGTGCGATACCTAGGCCTACCACTCTTGACAAAGTGTATGACAGTTGGAGATTACAAGCCCCTGATCGAAAAGATTCGAGGAAGAATCAGCTCTTGGACAATTCGACAGCTCTCGTATGCAGGGCGTCTTCAACTAATTCGGTCAGTTTTGATGAGCATAACGAACTTTTGGATGAATGCTTACCGTCTACCGAGTGCCTGTGTCCGCGAGATAGAGAAACTCTGCGCTGCTTTTCTATGGTCTGGTCCAAGCTTGAATACAAACAAATCAAAAGTGGCATGGAATATGATCACTCGAAAGAAAACCGAAGGAGGTCTTGGTTTAAGGCCACTCAAGGAGGTCAATACAGTTAGTGGTCTGAAGTTGATCTGGCGATTACTCTCACCAAATCAATCACTATGGAAGAAGTGGGTTTTTATGTATCTGATACGAAAGGATACCTTCTGGTCTGTAGGAGATAAACAGAATGCTGGTTCATGGATGTGGCGAAAAATTCTGAAATTTCGGCCTCGGGCAAGGGATTTTCACCGGGTTGAAGTTAAGAGTGGCAGTAATACATCCTTCTGGTATGATCACTGGTCGTCGCAGGGGAGACTCATCGAGTCTTTGGGAGTTAGAGAGTGCATCGACTTGGGCATTCCTCTAGAATCAACCCTTGAAGATGCATTCCTCACGCACAGACGGCGTCGTCATCGACATACTCTGCTAAACAGAGTTGAAGAGGAGATCGAAAACGCAAAAACTAACGCGGCTGCAGGTGTGGAAGATGTGGCTAAATGGATGTGTAGACCTGGCGTTTACAAGGACAGATTTAAATCCAAAGAAACTTGGATGATCATAAGGGAACACCACCTCCGGTGCGATTGGAGCGACACTGTCTGGTTTAAATACGCAACTCCAAAGTACAGTTTTTTGCTTTGGACTGCAATGCACGACAGATTGGCCACAGGGGATTGCATCCTATATTGGAATGCAAATGTGGACACATCTTGTTCCTTATGTCATCACCCTTTGGAGACACGACAAGATCTCTTTTTTGAGTGTGCCTATGCGAAACAGGTTTGCGAACCACTCGTCAAAGGCATTCTCACCAACACATACACTTGCAACTGGGATGACATCTTGCGCATTCTTAGAGACCACAACATCGACAAAACCTCTCTATTTATCCTTAGATATGTTTTCCAAGCAACAATCTACGGTCTATGGAGAGAAAGGAACGCGCAGCGGCATGGAGAAAACCCCTCTCCACCTCAGAGATTGATAAAGGTTATTGATAAGACGATTTGAAATCGTCTAAGCTCTATTCGATCTAAGGGAGTGAAGGACTATGAAAATGGTCTGGTTTACTGGTTTGGCACCAGACTCTGATGTAATATTTTTCTTTTCACCACTTAAAACAATGATGCACTTGATGTAAAACAGTTTTTTGATTGAATACAATTTTACATTCTTTCAAAAAAATAAATTGTGCAACAAAAAAAATTTCTGTGGATATTATCCTAGTGAAAGTTTAGGGTACGAAGAAGCATTATACTGTTTTAACTGGTCTTTAATTTTAGTTGACCTCTCTGCAATCTGCTCTTTCCTTTTCACCTTTCAATCTTTCTTAAAGTTTCTTGCTTTCCGTTTTACAGCTTTCTGCAAATATTGTAACAACCCATAAGAAATTTGAGCTGAAATTGGGAATTTGCTGTTATTAAAATACCTCTTGTCGAAAGCAGCGATCAAGCTTCACAAAAATGAGCTCTGTGCATTCTCCAAGGTAACTTTAGGATCGGGTGGTCTAAATAACATTTATGAGATTCTTCAATGATCTGGCATATAGGAGGTACAAGATCAAACGTTTTACATCAAAATATAGTAATGTTAGCACCTACATTGGGAGTGTTTACTACTAGTAGTACAAGATCAAATGTTTTTGTATTAAATGTTCAAAATGTTGACAATAATGTTTTTTTTCTAGTATTCGTTTAGGAATGTTTGTCCAAATCTGGTCAAAGCTTAACCGCATCAAACACAATTTTGAAAACCCACCAACTCAAAAACATGATAGAGAATGAAACATTAGCCATGATGAGCTAAAGAACTCACTTTCAGAAATATTTTACTTCTAGAAGAACAAAATTAGAAATCTCCTGCGACATCAATGGAAATAATGTAAAATCATATCTTTCACAGAGAAGAGCAGATCTTATCAAGCAAAATAACCAATGTGTTTTACCAAAAAAATAAAAAATAAAAAAATAACCAATGTGACTACGAATACTTTTAGTATAACTACCAATGGATAAGTTTCCTTCTTCCTAAGAACAGATCATAAAGGAGTTTCCAGATACGTAAGCAACAGAAGAGACGAAGCAGAATCTCAATTATGATGGCTTATGGTAATGTAACTTAGTGTTTACGCAGAACTAACCATTTTACACCCAAATCGATTCTCTCAAGTCTCAATGTCCGATTTAACGAGAAACTTAACAACCACATAGTTTTAGGTGAAACTGAAACTTCCATAACAAATCTCAGCAAATTCACATCGAGAAATCGAACAACAAAAAAGGAGACGAAGAATATCGCCTGAGAGAGAAATAATTCACGCTGAGAATTCGAATGGGCATTGAAATTGGGGGAGGAACAAAAAAAAAAAAAAAAAATGGGGGAGGAACAGAACCGGGTCAACGATTTAGGTTAATGGGCCGGATCATACTTTTTAAAACGCTGCGTTTTCATAGCTGCTTTCAGTGTGTTGTATTAACAAGGTTAATATGGGCCGTTTATAAGAAAATCATTCTCGGATGCAAAAAATGCAAATATTTTGTTTTTTGTTTTAAATGGGAAATATGAGATGTCCCCCAAGGTTCATGCATGTATCCAATAACTTTAGTTTTCTAAACAAGTGTGGGTTATTTCCCAAAATTTCCTAATATAATAAATCCAAAATTAAAAGCCCACTTGCATCACAAAACTAAAAAAAATACAAATAACAAAAGAAAAGGAATTCTCGAAAAGACGAGATAGACTTTGATACCCATGCTTTAAATTATTGGCATTTTTCGCCCCTTCGTTGATTAAAAGTATAGAAAGATAATAACATCGATCGTGACGATCGTTAAATCATAACGTCGGCTTCTGTTACGGCCGTTAGAAATTGTGGTTGTCGACGAATTAGTAAGAAACGGCGTTAAAAGAGGTTGCTGCCGGAACACGGATAGTGGTTATCATCAACTCAAAGCACAAAAATACTTTTCCTCACCTAAAAATTAAGGCAATGATATTAATTTAGGTTGCGTGTAAACAACGCTCACGACACGTAATTTTACACACGTGTCGATTTTTGATTGCTTATTGCTTGACCGCCATACCTTTCTCGTGACCTAATATGGTCCTCGACTACTCATCCTTTTCTATAAATCAATAACTTAAGTCCTCTTCGTCTTCACAATTCGATTTTCTAAATCAAAAACACTTATCTCAATTCTCCAACGCGACTTACGATCAAGGTAAATTTCTGATTTCTTCTTCGATTACGCGTGTTTCGTTGGATCGCAGTTGATTCTCTTACTTCTCTTTGAATTTGATTCGGTTAAAGAAGGCGAATATTTCAGTTTCACCAAATAGATCCTCTCTTGATTTTCGATTAGGGTTCGTGTAATTCATAGATCTGTGTTCTTATCTGTCGATCCGTGATTTTTTCCAGATTTCTGTTATTAATTTTTGATCGAGTCTGATTCTTGTTTACGCGATTTTGATTTCGGAATATCGAAGCGAATTCTTATTGTTGCCGATTGTTTCGTCTCCAATTGATCTGAGTCTGATTTCACAATTAGGTTATTGATCTTCGATTTTCTGAATTTCAGATGCAGATCTTTGTTAAGACTCTCACCGGCAAGACTATCACCCTCGAGGTGGAAAGCTCTGACACCATCGATAACGTTAAAGCCAAAATCCAGGATAAGGAAGGAATTCCTCCGGATCAGCAGAGGCTTATCTTCGCCGGAAAGCAGTTGGAAGACGGCCGGACTTTGGCCGATTACAACATCCAGAAGGAATCCACCCTTCACTTGGTCCTCAGGCTCCGTGGTGGTATGCAGATCTTCGTCAAAACCCTAACGGGAAAGACGATCACTTTGGAGGTCGAGAGTTCTGACACCATCGACAACGTGAAGGCTAAGATCCAAGACAAGGAGGGAATCCCACCAGACCAGCAGAGGTTGATCTTCGCCGGAAAGCAGCTCGAAGATGGCCGTACTCTTGCGGACTACAACATCCAGAAGGAGTCGACCCTTCATCTAGTGCTCAGGCTCCGTGGTGGTATGCAAATCTTCGTGAAAACTTTGACCGGAAAGACCATTACTTTGGAGGTTGAGAGCTCTGACACCATCGACAACGTGAAAGCCAAAATTCAAGACAAGGAAGGTATCCCCCCGGACCAGCAGAGGTTGATCTTCGCCGGCAAGCAGCTTGAGGATGGTCGCACCTTGGCCGATTACAATATCCAGAAGGAGTCAACACTTCACTTGGTCTTGCGTCTTCGTGGTGGTATGCAGATCTTTGTGAAGACTCTTACCGGCAAGACAATCACACTGGAGGTTGAGAGCTCCGATACCATCGACAACGTGAAGGCCAAGATCCAGGACAAGGAAGGTATCCCTCCGGACCAGCAGCGTCTCATCTTCGCTGGAAAGCAGCTTGAGGATGGTCGCACCTTGGCCGATTACAACATTCAGAAGGAGTCCACTCTTCACTTGGTCCTCAGGCTCCGTGGTGGTATGCAGATTTTCGTCAAGACCCTGACCGGGAAGACCATCACCCTTGAAGTCGAGAGCTCCGACACCATTGACAACGTCAAGGCCAAGATCCAGGACAAAGAAGGGATTCCTCCAGATCAGCAGCGTCTCATCTTCGCTGGAAAGCAGCTCGAGGATGGTCGCACCTTGGCCGATTACAACATCCAGAAGGAGTCGACTCTTCACTTGGTCCTCCGTCTTCGTGGTGGGCTCTAGAATCATATTTCGTGCGTCTCTGGTTTTAAAAGTCGTTTCTGTTTCCTTTCTTTAAAGACTTCGCGTGTTCTGTGTTTTGGGGCCATGTAAAGCCCCTAGATAAATAATTGATGGAACTATGTTTGCGTTCTGATCTATCCTTTCGTTCTAAGACAAATCGAATTCCTCTATTTGAATATATATCATATCTGCCTTTATCCTCGTCTGTCTCAACATTCTTATGTGCTTGTTTGTGGTTAAGTGTTTTACCTTTTGCTAGATATTCTTTGGTCAGTGTCATCACTTGATTTGTCAGTGTCACGGTGGATTCATCCTCCACGCCCATATTATGACCGGAGAGCGATAACCTAGTCAGTTTCAGATTCTCTCCTCCAAATAACTTGTAAATCTCTTAAGTGTCCACACTTGGGTCTCAAGTCTCATTGCCTGGGTTCTCTTTACTGAGTTGGTTGTGTATTGTTGGAACGCAGCGGTGATACGTATCTCTTGCACGTCTGATGCCTTAAAAGGGGTTTTTGCAAGGATCTCTTGACTTTAGGTGAAATGTTTGTGCTTATTCCATAAGCCTTATTGGGTTGTCTTCTCAACCTTAACCGTGTGGTTAATACAGAATCAGTTCAGAGTAATATGCTTGGAGATTCAATGAGAATGTTGTTGCCTCATAATCAGGAGCTTATAGCAAATAGGGGATTTGTCCCAGTAAAAACAAGGGACAATACAAGAGATGTCTGAGGGGAAACTGCATGATGCCTTGGTTTAACAAGGGAGATAACGTTTCCTCCTTCAAGTTAATTTTGTTTTGTGGAAAGTTTAAAGCGTTGAAGAGACGACTTTGGTTGGTATATTCATTGATGATATCAGGTGAAGAATGTATGCAATTAAAATGATATATCTTTCTTCTTTTCCATCAATCAAGATGTTACACAACCCATTGGGTTTAGACAAACATAAACAAACAAACAAACAAACAAAAACATCTTCTGGTGAAGTGAGATCAAAACTCGGAAAATAGTAACAACATAAGGAATCATGAACCAACATGAGACTAATTGATTATTGGTCAAGTGGCAGCCATTCCATTTCTAGCTCTAATTCTCCAGACTCTACGTTTTGTAGTTTGATTTGAACCTCCTGCTTCACTTTTCCATCGACAATGTTAATGATACTGTCATCTATAAGCGGATTATCATGCGACTTTAGCCACTTCCCAATCTGCATATCCCCAAACATTTCAGGATCCCCAAATGCCATTGCAGATGTTATCAGAGGTTGGATATCAATCTCAGCTTCTCCCATTATATCATCTGCAGAAAATGTATCATAATCGTACACTTGCTGCAATCACAGAGATCCCCCAGTAAGCTTTTAATCGATAACCCAACTCATTCAGTAGAAAACTCCATCTGCATATGATTAGCTTACCAATTTCACTGGGCCATAGCTCTCAGGAACGGATAGCATGAGTTCTTGATTCCATACCGGGTTCAAATTACTATTCACAACAGTTGTCTGAAGTTTCTGAACATTAAACCAAGAACGGCAATAATTTCAAGATTCACACAAAAGTCCTATAGATGCAGGTTAGTAAAAACAGACACAAAGAGATCACTTACTTGCTTCCCTAGATTCAACACAACATATGGATCACTTGACATCATGTCTCTGATGGCTAAGTTAGTACCTTTCTTAACAGTCACCTTCAACATTCCAATAAACTCTACCATTCCTTCCTGAAACTGTCAAATTTTACATATCGATCTCTACAAGAAGATTATATATGTCAAAGAAACTGTTAACAAAAAGCTGCAAGTTGGAAGCTTTACTATCTTCTTTGATGATGAATTTGTGCGAAAACTATCCATGATCTTTCGAGAAAGACTTGATGTAAGAAAAGCTGAATTCTTTTTCGAGCACTTCCCGGATGAAATCCGCAAGCTTGGTTTCAGAAACTCTTGGAGTTCATATTTTGACCTAAACAAAAGATTCAAGATTTTGAGTAATTCATTCAACAAAGATTCAAGATTTCTTTCTTTTTTTTTTTTTTTTTGTGTTTTGAATCACTACCTAATGAATCTCATACGCTGATCATGACTAACATCAGGTCCAGGCTTGGAGCTTCCTTCGGGTACAAAAGCTTCGTAAATTGAATTAGCAGAAGCATTTCCTCCAATTTCAATCATGGCGTCGACTTCCTCATCTGACCATTCATCAAGTGTCACAGACAAGACCTGGAGAAACCAAACAAATGAGTACACATCAAAAGAATTCAGTTTCTCTTGAGTAATAAAGAGAAGAAGAGACAAACAAACAAACCAAAAACCAAAATATAATAGAAGCTATATCACCTTTGAGATATGAGTGCCGAGGCTTCTGTGCACACCGCAACATTTTAAGCAAATGAATACTCCGATATTTGCTGATCTGAAAAAGAAACCACTAACTGATTAAAACAGAAACAAAAACGATATGAAACAAATTAACACAAAGATGCATAATTAAAGACACAAGCACATAATACGTATTAGTAGCTTTTGGTCATGATTAAGAAAATGTGAGAACTTTAATGGTGCTAGGCTTTGAAGGTTGTAGATTTTTCCGCTAAACGAACAAAGAATATGCATAGCCAATACATATATTAGCTTTGATTAGACATGATCAAAAGTTTCCAGCTTATCAAGAAACTACATGAGGATCATACAAGAAATCAAATTCTGAAATAAGAAATTGAGAGGAGGCTTAACGGTGATAACTTACGCCCATTTAGGATCAGAAGCGCCACAATCAGCGCAGACTCGGTTATCAGGTTGGTTTAAAAGATCTCTTATCCTCCTTTTACCTGTTAAAAAACATACACAAAATGTATTGAGTCACAACATAACCAAGAAACTTAAAAACCATTTTGTGAATTGTCCACATCAACTAAAACTACAAAACATGAAAAAAATTCCAGAAATTGCTCTGAATCTTATGAAATTCATCACACAATCGTGAAAATCAGAATAATCAATTAGTTTTGTCATACCTGAGCCAGGCTTACCGAGTCCGGCTGCATAATTGCTCATTGCTCTTTCAAGAAACAACAATCATCAAACAAAATCCTACATAGAACCAAACAAAAAATTTACCCATCACGAACAAATTTGTTCTAATGAAGACAAAAAAAGAAAGTTCCAATATTTCTTAAGGAAACCAAACTGAATTTACTATTAAACGTCGACATTATTGTGGATTTCAGAACAAAAAAATGGGGGCAATCACAGGAAAGAATCGTCGGAAGATTTATACTTTCAATATCATCCTTCTGTATTTGGATTCCCCACACTAAAGATTCAAAATTTAAAAAAACAAAAACCCAATATAAACAAATACAAAAGTTGATCCTTTGAGCATTCGTGAAGAACATGTCAATGGACGATAACCCGGAAACAGGACCAAGTCCATTAATCTAATTAATTTACAAAGGAAGGAATTAGGGATTGAATGATCTAAAAGATATGAAACAAGAAACATATACGGAACTGGAATTGAGAGATAGAGAGAGAGATTTGGTGTTCTTACAAATCTTTGGGGAAAGGATAGATAGAGAAAAGATTTACAAATACAAATGGCAAATGATAATCTGCAAATGACGAATACGTGCTCACTTTTATTTTTTTTTGTTTTCTTAATGTCTTCCAATTTTTTTTAATAAAGAAATTAGAGCAAATTGTTAATTTAAGTAAAAAGCGACAATTAGTCAATTAACCATTGTGTGGTCATTTGCCTTTTCCAATGCAGAGTCTGTAGAGAAAACATGGTTTTATAATAATGTAGAGAAAACATGGTTTTATACTAATGAAGAAACATAAGAAAAAGGGAAATTACCTAAAATATACCAAAAGTTTCCTAATATTACTAGAGAGACCCAGTTTTACATTTGATACAAAATGGACCCTGGATATTACTTGTATCCCATTTAAAACTCATAATATTACGATTATGCCATTTTAAAAAAAGAGGTGAAAAGTTTTGAGATTTTACATCAGATTTATTTATCTCATTTATCTCATTTACTGAAAAGTAACTTTTCATCTTCTCTTCTTTCTTTTATCTCCACGGCCGACACCCTCTTTGCGTCGTCGGAACCCGAGATTCCGGTTTAACGGACAGATCTCTTCGACTTTGCAAGCGGCGGTCGCCTCAAATCTTCGACTTCGACTTCGACTTGGCAAGCGTCGGTGGTCTCAAATCTGCGAGTTCAGAAGACAATGCTCATCGACTTGCATCGCGGCACGGCTACTCTCCCTTAATCCGATATCTGTAATAACGGTTCCGGTAAGGGTTTGGGCTGTAACAAGTCTACTCAGACATAGATAACTTTATTAAGTCTACAGATCAAAAAGTCTAGGACCACGTTTTCATATATCTGCCTCCAATAACATTAAGTCTGCTCACTAAGTCTACCTCTTCTAAAGTTTACAGAATAAGTCTAAATCCAAAATAAGTCTACGAAGTCATATTTCCTAGAACAAGTCTACACTAAAAGTCTACACTATAATAGATTACTTGATTAAGTCTACCGTCCAACAAGTCTAAACCATCATATTAAAAAATCTGCCTGTAAAAACAGTAAGTCTACTCTATAAGTCTACCTCTACATAGGTTTCCATAATAAGTCTAAATCGGCAATAAGTCTACGAAGTCAGATTTCCTCGTTTCTACTTAAGTCTATACTGTCAAAGAACAAGTCTAAACTAAAAGTCTACACAGACATAGATAACTTTATAAAGTCTACAGACCAAAAAGTCTAGGACTACGTTTCCATATATCTGCCTCCAATAACATTAAGTCTGCTCACTAAGTCTACCTCTTCTGAGGTTTACAGAATAAGTCTAAATCCAAAATAAGTCTACGAAGTCATATTTCCTCATTTCCATTTAAGTCTGCTTCGTCGAAGAACAAGTCTACACTAAAAGTCTACACTATAATAGATTACTTGATTAAGTCTACCGTCCAACAAGTCTACACCATCATATTAAAAAATCTATCTGTAAAAACAGTAAGTCTACTCTATAAGTCTACCTATACATAGGTTTCCATAATAAGACTAAATCGGCAATAAGTCTACGAAGTCAGATTTCCTTGTTTCCAATTAAGTCTATACTATCAAAGAACAAGTCTAAACTAAAAGTCTACACACACATAAATAACTTTATTAAGTCTACAGACCAAAAAGTCTAGGACTACGTTTCCATATATCTGCCTCTAATAACATTAAGTCTGCTCACTAAGTCTACCTCTTCTGAGGTTTACATAATAAGTCTAAATCCAACATAAGTCTACGAAATCATATTTCCTCGATTCCATTTAAATCTACACGTTAAACGAATAAGTCGACATTAAAAGTCTACAGTCAAATAAATTACATAACTAAGTCTACGAATTCAAAAGTCTACCTTTACAGTCTTACGACAGAAAATAAATCTACATGGTCTACCAAATAAGTCTACCAATTAAGTCTACAATATCATGAAGTACAACGCACAAGTCTACCAAAATCGTTAAGTCTATTCAAATTCAATATGTCTACGTTATCAAAATCCGTAGACATATTTTTGTCGGTGGTGTAAAAGCGGTAGCAATATTGTAAATATTCACCTCGTTCTAATAAAAACATAATGGCAATTTCGTTATTATGTTTTTTGATAAGAAAAAAATGACACAAAGAGCATCAAATTTTTCTCTTTGGAGCATTAATGTCGTCACAAAGATGAAACCTCGTAATCCCTTTCCATAAGAGGAAAGCACGAACTTTCTCTCGAATCTTCCATTTCTGAAAATATACACTCGAAAACTTGCTCCCCAATTTTTCTCTTCTCTCCTTATAATTAAACACACACACAACACACACATCACTTGCTTAACCATCTCATCTTCACCACCTGAGAAACTGATAACAATGGCGTCGAGTTTCTTCGCTCAAAGAATCCCTTCTGTTTCCGCGATTTTCTCGGTTTACACATCTCTCTCTGCTTTCACGATCCTATTCCGAACCATTCTCAATGAGATCATTCCCGTTAAAGTCCGTGACTTTCTCGTCTCCAAATTCACAGACTACTTTTCTTCTCATTTCAACTCAAATTTCACCTTCATCATTCAGGAGCAGTGCGATTACGTAACGAATCAGACTTTCCGTGCAGCAGAAACTTACTTGCCGACACTTCTCGCCGGAACCTCCACCGGAAGTCTTCTTGTCCGTTCGATCAACCTCAAGAACCCGATGGCTAAACCGAGATACGGAATCCCGGTTAAAGCCAAAATCACCGATGAATTCCAAGGCATCCCTCTCGAATGGACTCTTCACTCTGAAAAAACGATAACCCTTACCAGGGTAAACAAAAACGGTAACTTTTCTAAACATGTAACCTTAAAATTTGGGTTTTTTTTCCAATCACTCTTCTAATCTGAGTCTATTTATGTATTTACACTAAAACTTGGGCATGTAAAAAATGAAGCACTAAAATTTAGAGATGTTAAGAAAGTCGAAGACTTTTCAAAGTAGTCGTCTAATCTGAGTCTAATTACGTTTTACTATGCTTCATTTCCTAATTAATTCTCATTTCTGACATTATTTGTAAAAATACTAAAAAATTTAGTGTGTAAAAGAGAAGCCCTTAAAATTTGGAAAAGTTAAAAAAAACTATAAAAATTGCAGATGTTAAAAAGAAACCCTAAAATTTGGGGATTTTTCTCAATTACTCTTCTAATCTGAGTCTAATTATGTTTTATCATCCTTTTACTTCGTAATCGATTCTCTTTTCTGACATTATTATGTAAAACACTAAAATTTGGGCATATAAAAAAAAGAAGCACTAAAATTTGGAGATGTTAAAATGGAAATCGTTAAAGTCTGAGGACTTTTCAAATTGGTCGTCTAATCTGAGTCTAATTACGTTTTACTATGCTTTATTTCCTAATTAATTATTTTCTGACATTATTTGTAAAAACACTAAAATTTAGAATGTAAAAAAAGAAGCACTTAAAATTTGTAAATGTTAAAAAAAAAAATATAAAATTTGCAGATGTTGAAAAGAAACCCTAAAATTTGGGGATTTTTTCAATCATTATTTTAATCTGAGTCTAATTACGTTTGTATATGTCTTATTTCGTTCTTCATTCTCATTTCTGACATTATTACGTAAAACCTTAAAATTTGGGGATGTTACAAAAGACGCCCTAAAATTTGGGGATTTTCATTCACCTGAGTCTAATTACGTTTTATATGCTTTATTTTGAAATTATTCGTATTACTTAACACTAACTTGTACGTAATTGATGTGTGTTTGGGGGTTCAGGTACTTTCATTTGACATGTAAGAAGGAGTTTAGGGACATGATAATGTCAGATTACTTCACATACATCGCAAAATCATCAGTGGATATATTGAAACACATAGAAAATCTCAAGATCCACACTTACAATCCACATAATCGGGAATGGGAATCAGCAGTCTTCCAACATCACACGACATTTGAAACCTTAGCAATGGAAACTGAGCTAAAGAACACATTGATCCGTGACCTAGACGCTTTCTCCAAAGGCAAAAACTTCTTCAAAACCGTAGGACGAGCTTGGAAACGTGGTTATCTTCTTTACGGTCCTCCTGGAACCGGAAAATCATCGCTTGTTGCTGCAATTGCTAACCACATGAAGTATAGTATCTATGATCTTCAGATTCAGAGCGTTGCAGATGATGCAATGCTTAGACAGATTCTTACTTCAACCGAGAACCGTTCGATTCTTCTCATCGAAGATCTTGATTGCAGTGGAACGGATGCTTCTTGTAGAAACGTAAATCAAGATGAGAAAGAGGGTGGCGAGAATCAGAACAAAAAGAAGAAGAAGGAGGTTTATGAGTATATATAATTTATAAACTTCATTAATCTTCACAAAACTGTATCTCTGATTTTTGTGTTCTGATTCTTGTTCTTTTGTGGTTTAGGTAACTTTGTCTGGTCTACTAAACTTTGTGGACGGTTTATGGTCAAGCTGTGTAGAGGAACGGATCATAATATTCACAACAAATCACAAGGAGAAACTCGATCCGGCATTGCTGAGACCAGGAAGAATGGATGTTCATGTACTCATGGACTACTGTACGCCTGTTGTTTTCAAGAAACTCGCTGCATTGTATCTTGAAATCGAGAAACACGATATGTTTGAGCCTATTGAAAAGATATTTCTTGAGGTGAAAGCAACTCCAGCTGAGGTCACTGAGCAGCTTATGGTGAGCAAGAATCCGGATATTGCGCTTAGGGGCCTTGTTGAGTTTCTCCTTAGCAAGAAGCTGACTAAAAAGAATGAAGATACTGAAATTAAAGAAGCAGAAGCATAAAAGGCTTCAGGGATCCATTAAAGTAGTTAAGTACAAATTATGAAGTAAAAAACTATGACTTAAGTAGAATTCTGTCTCATTTTCATTTGGGATTTAGTGGGAGTGTAGGACTGATGGATCCATGGAACTGGAAGTAGTTCAGTTATTCAGTAGTCATATAGAAACTAATTAGTAATGTAAGTAGCTCAGTTGTCTCAGTTATCACAATTGGGATTTTAATAGGACTGATTGAAACTAATTATAAGAGAAAAAGGCTACTTGTCCTTGTTATTATCTCTGATTGTATTTTCAGAACCAGTTGCTTCTTTCAAGATGCAAATTGGTCTTGTCACTAGCTAGCTTTATCATTTGAAGTAAAACAAATTCATGAATTAAGTCTCCAGAATCAGGAATTCAAGATAGTTTGATATGATCAGCAATCAGTAACTAGATATTAGATATATATAAGAACATCATTTAACAGATGGTAATATTTATCTACAGTTTTTTTTTGTTGACTTTGCTTAAAGAGAAATAAAATGCAACAACTCCACAAGAAATTTACTGAATGTTTTTTTTTTTTTTTTTAAATTGTTGAATTCAAGTCACCTGCAACTTGTAAAATTTCAAAACCTATACAGAGATATCAAATAGGAATTTTCTTAAAATTTTGGACCAAAAACAAAAAAAAAACAAAAAAAAATTTCTTAACTCTTTCCAGTGAAATAAAATTTGCAGAAACAATAAAGACACAGAATTTGGTGAGAATACAAAAACAAAAACAAAAACAACACAGAACGAGAAACAAAAGGAACATAGTATAGTAGTAACAGTAAGAGACGTAGTGTCATTTAATTGCATCCCAAATAAAATAATCAAAAGAGAAAGTTATAAAGAATTGAGCAATAATTTGACCACCAGGATCTCTCTCGAGGAGCCAACCAATTGAGAATTTGCAGACAGTGTGGGCTGTTTTTTTGTTGGTTTGTGTCTTTTCTGGGCCTCGAAAGGATCTTCTTCTTCTCACCCTTTCACTATAAACCCAGAAAATCCTCTGTAACTTTTGTTTCTCGATCATTCTTTACTCGATTGCGATCTAATTCTTATAATCATATTCTTTTTCGTCTGGAGAAAATCTCATCCTTTTCTCCATCGCCATGGCTCTCTCAACACACCCATCTCAGGTTTTTTTAATGGGTTTGCTATTATATACTCGTTTACTTTACTTCCTGTGATATATATTCGGATTTTGGTTTTTTGAATTTCAGATGTCTGTTGCACTTCCCACTGGAATTGATGGGTCGAGCCGATCTATGATTAAGGTGAACAAAACTGATCTTAGACTAATCAAATACCGAGCTATGTTGTTTCAGATGCTTAGATGGTCCTGGAATTTGTTGTCTTTGTTATTTGTTGTGGGTTTAGTTCTGATGTCGACTTGTAGTGAATTTAGTCTTGAAAGGTACAGTCTTTAGAAGTAAAAGATGAAAAATCTGCCTCCTGAAACTGGATTTTGTATCTATTGAGAAATGAAATTGGAATCCTTTGGGGATATCTAGTATTTCTTTTGCATCTCATTTAGAAAGTGGAAGGAGCTAATTTGAAAAGAGTCTCCATTAATTTATGTGTAACGTTGACCTTTAATTCTGTCTCAGGTGCAAAGTATAAGCTTCACTGAGAAGTCATGGGGTCCTCTTCTGAGATTAGATTCGAAATCCAGGAAACTAAGTTTGAAAAAACGGTCCACTATATGTATGTCACTTCAGCAAGCAAGCAGATCCAAAGTCTCAGTTACTCCTCTAGAACTTGAAGATCCCAAAGAGACTCCTTTAAACTTGTACAAGCCTAAGGAGCCTTATACAGCGACGATTGTTTCTGTAGAGAGAATTGTTGGTCCACAAGCACCTGGAGAGACTTGCCACATTGTAATTAATCATGATGGCAATGTTCCTTATTGGGAAGGACAGAGCTATGGAGTGATTCCTCCTGTAAGTGGTTCACTTGCAGAAATGTGTGTTTTTTTAACTTTTTTAAAAAACTTTTGTTGATTTATAATGGCATCACCTTTTGCTTCAATAGGGTGAGAATCCTAAGAAACCTGGTGCTCCTCACAATGTACGCCTTTATTCGATTGCATCAACAAGATATGGAGATTCTTTTGATGGCAAGACAGCTAGTCTATGTGTCCGTCGAGCTCTTTACTATGATCCAGAGACGGGAAAGGAAGATCCTTCCAAAGCTGGTGTGTGTAGTAACTTCTTGTGCAATGCTAAACCCGGGGATAAAGTCAAAATCACCGGTAAGTTAGTTATGTGTTTCACAGAAACAGATCGGTACAAAGTAAAAACCTGTTCTTTTGTTGAACATGATCTGATATCGTTGAAACAGGTCCTTCGGGAAAGGTAATGCTTTTACCTGAAGATGATCCAAAAGCAACTCACATAATGATAGCTACTGGAACCGGAGTTGCTCCATACAGAGGATATTTGCGGCGTATGTTTATGGAGAATGTTCCTAATTTCAAGTTTGATGGACTCGCGTGGCTCTTCCTCGGTGTGGCTAACTCAGACAGTCTTCTCTACGATGAAGAATTCGCTGGTTACCTCAAGGACAATCCAGAGAATTTCAGGTACGATAAAGCGTTGAGCAGAGAAGAGAAGAACAAGAAAGGAGGGAAAATGTATGTGCAGGACAAGATTGAAGAGTATAGCGACGAGATATTCAAACTTCTTGACAATGGAGCTCATATCTACTTTTGTGGGCTTAAAGGAATGATGCCAGGGATTCAAGATACGCTCAAGAGAGTCGCGGAAGAGCGAGGCGAGAGCTGGGAGAAGAAACTTACTCAGCTCAGGAAGAACAAGCAATGGCATGTTGAAGTTTATTGAGTTTTGTAATAGTAGTCTCTCTGTATTTTCTACATCTCTGCAGTTGAATAAATTGTGTGATGATCCATTTTTATGGATGATAAGACTCAGATAGCTTAGACTGATTTTCTATTTGAATGGTTAAGTTATTGCTACGTGGCTTGGTTATGGTTCAGATACGGTTTTTTCGTTATCGACGATTCAGAATATGATTTTGAAATTTCGGTTCGGTTTGACAAAACCATGCTTAATGCTTTAATGGAAACGTCGTCGCTAGCATTAGCTTATGACGATACTACCCTTGATTTGAGCTGAAATTGCAGTCGTAAGGCTACTCTTTATGTAAAACGACATCGTCTCACTTTGAGCTCTTCTTCCACAGTCAAGTCGAAACCCTAAATCTCTGTGCTGAAAACACCATTTTCAGACGAAGGTCTTACGGAAATCAGAAACTCAGGTGAAAGCAGAACGATGATTCGAGTTACGAGACCAAAACCGATTCTCGAATCACTGAGTTACCACCTTATCCAGAGATGCTCCGCTGGCGGAACCCCAAAGGGAAAGGCCAAGCTGAAGACAGGCCAGCCATTGAAGCGTAACAAGCTCTCAACCAAGAAAGGCGGTGGTGGCGGCGGCGGAGGAGGAGGAGCTGGAGAAGGAGAGGAGGCGGTTAAAGGAAAAGGGAGGATTTCCGATGAGAAGCAGAAGCTCTACGAGCAATGCTTAACCGCTCCTTGCCCTGTTCGCTACTTGACGCCCAAGGAGATCGAGCGAGAGGCGCAACGTGAGAAGCTAGGGCTGATTAGCAAGGAGAAGCAACGTGATATGGAGATTCAGAAGAAAGGAGGAGCCGCCGCGATGGGAGTCACCGACGAGCCGATCCGAATCGGGACTCCAGGTTTGGATTACATTTCGTTAGGGATCTTCGAAGCCGAAGAATTGCCGAAATACAAGCTGACGGAAGAAGACGGACAGAGACTCGCGAAGGAGAATAGTAAAGTGTTGATGAGAGAGCACAGAGAGCGTCGTGCAGCTGAGACTGCGCTTCTGAATATGAAGAAAGCTGCGATTGAAGCATTGCCGGAGACGCTGAAGAAGGCAGCGTTAGAGCCTGATTTGACGCCATTTCCGGCGAATCGAGGTATGGCCAGTCTTACACCGCCTATTGAAGGGTATCTAGAGAAGGTTATGGATGCAGCCAAGAAGAGTTCTAGTAAAGAGAAGTTGAGATGATTCATTCTAAAAGGTTAGAGATTTTGTCTTACGCTCTCGTTTTTCTCTTGCTTTTGCTTCGAACAAGGGAACGATTCAGGTATCAGAATCTAATGATTATATGCTCACAAAGATTTGAATTAACTTTGTTTTATAAAAAGTATTGAGAGATTTTTGAGATGATCCGATAAAGGTTAGAATTTTTGTCTTATGCCATCGTGTTTCTCTTGTTTTTTCCTTTGAAGATGAGTTGTAACCGTTTGTTTTTGCGATGGAACCATCCTGGATTTTGGATTGATGATTAGCAATATTGATCTTTGATGTTAAAGCTGGTGTCTTGGGCTTATGTTGTTGTGGAAAATAGCTCATAATTGATGGTTAACTAGATTTCATGTAGTATGATAATACTTACCGATAAAACTTGAGATTTTAGTTTTTTTGCATATAGCAACTAGATGAATGAGATTTACTCACATGTCTTTACGTTAGCGTTTGCAAAGTAAAATTGGAAACTTTCAAAAGCATTATCTTGTCTGATGTTCGATCATTATGTATCTCTTTTTCTTTTGCTGGATATGCTCTTGTTTAGTTTCTCTTTAATGCAAGTTGCATTTTTCTTGTTTCAAGTCTTCATCTTGTGGTATTCTATGTATGTTCTGTCCAGAGCTTTCCTAATCAATTCCCTGTTGGCTTTTCCTATTCAGTTGAAGCTATACTCGGAATGGAATAGAACAAGACTGAGGAATATTGATAAGTGCCATAGACAGAAACTTCAAGAAACTGTCTTTAAGGGATTTCAAGCTTGACTTAGAGAGACTATTCGTTCATGCAGCTTCTTGCCTTCTTTTGCAGAAGCAACTTTCTTCTGCTGTATCCAGATCTTGATGTATGATCAAGTCTGTATATCCATGGATCTTGTTTTAATAATTTCCTTTATTCAAAATGATAATTGTTCAACATTTGGGGAGGAATCAAACAAATAAGCTTATTTGAGAATTAAATTTCTGGGGAATTTTAATCATCTTTGATTCATCAGTAGACCCAAAATGTTAAAGAAGTTCTCTCTTTCTCTCTATTGTATTAAAGAATGAAAATGGATACAATAAAACAGACAAAAAAGGGAGCAAAAACGTAAAGACTTGTAATAGTCCCTATATAACTTGAGATTGATTTTTCGACTCAAAATTTTAGTACCAACTCTTCTTTAATCCCAAATAAATCATTATGATAGCCTTAAGGGATGTATTGTCACGCCATTTTGAGCAGACTTTAAGCAGCCTTATCTTCCAAATCCAGCTTAATGGGATGTATTGCGACACCATTTTCCGCAGACTTTATGCAGCCCCATCTTCCAAATCGCGTTTCCTGCCATAACGATTTCACAAAACACAACATTTTTGAGATTAGCATTCACACACACAACAGACAACAAAGATATGGAAAGAACAAATAAAAGAAGATGACAATAGAGGATCGCATACCTGTCCAACACCGGCAATCAGAAATTTACCCGATTTGGCAAAAGCCAAAGAGTTCACAAATCCAGGCTGTAAGATCACAAAAGGGCATTGTGAGATTATAACTCACAAACAGCACACAACAACACAACACTGAAAAAAAAAAACATAACTGGGGAAAAACAAATTTACCAGTGGAAGCTTGAATAAAGGTCGAATGGCCATTTTTCCAGTTTCAACAGCCAACAAATACACAAAACCATTACCAGCTCCAGATGCAGCAAGATCACTACCTCTACAAACAGCAACTGAATTCACCCAAGAACTTGCTGAGCAAGAGTTATAGTTGACATAACTATGATCACCATTTTCTGTCCAAAACCAAACAAAAAAAAAAACACAAAGAATTAAGACCTTTCAGAGCAATGGGAGCTTCAATGAAACAAAATAACCTGTGCTTTTGTAACCAGATTCTGCGATGTTAATATTGAATTGCATCAAATACTAGACGAAAAAGGAACTCGTTTAAGGTTTTACCTAAGATTCCATCAGTGGTCTTTTCTTCATCTATAACGACATGTGCATTCTTGAGGAGAAACATCGGTTTCTTTTTTAACATGCCCCATAATGCAACAGTTCCATTATCCGAACCAGACAGGTACTCATCATCACTGACGAAACAGCAGCTCTCAAGAGACGATGCAGGAGCACGATAGATCATACGTGCTCCCTCAGCAATCTATTATCATATAACAAGAGTTACAAATACAGAATAATAGAAACCATACGATGATGGCTCGCAATCGTGTTCACATGGAAAATAAAAAGTAACATATCACCTTAGATAATTGCATGGTTCTATCTCTTGCAACCGAGAGCGCACGCTCCTTCCGTAGCGCATCAACGGCTAGAATTTCAGCCTGGTGTCCAAAATTATCTTGTACAAACGCATTATCTTCTACATTCCACACCTTCACAGTTCGATCATATGAACCAGAATAGAGTTCCGCAGTTCCGTGTCTGAAACATAGACAAGAAACGGTGTCCCGGTGACCTGGAAAGGCCTGTAGACACATAATTATAACAAGTTGAGAGCAAGACTTGATTAAGATGACTTATAAAACAGAACAAAAAACACGGATTTATCATTACCTGGACATGCTCTCGGGTACGAACGTCCCATATATGAACATGGCGATCAACACCTCCAGTCGCCAAATAACGACCATCGGAGCTAACAGCTAAAGCAAGAGTTTCTCTGCTGTGTTTTTTATTTCGAGGCTCCCTCACTTTCATCCCATGAGACTTCAGAATTTCATCACTTGGCCATTTGTATTTGTCACTCTTTCCAGAAGATACATCCCAATGCCTAATAGTACCGTCTTTGGAAGCTGAAAACCCTCTAGAATCGTCATCAGAGAGAGCAACCGCTACAACAGATTGTCGGTGCTTGACAACGACACGAAACCCATCAGTACTCAGTGGCTCCTGAACCCTGAATCATGACAAAAAACATCTTTCAAAATTGACCTAATAAATGTAAAAATCACTAAAATTACTTCACAATTAAGCAGGTTCTCTAAAACAGTGGCTACCAATAAACCCCGAATTACCAGAAATTTCGAATCTATGAACTCGAGTTTGAATACATAAGCTACCAAAATTTTTAATTACCTCGAGGCAATGACTCTTCGAACCCTACCACTGTCTTCGAGCTGCTTCTTCATCAAAGTCTTCGCAATACGACCTGTATCATCTTCTTCCTCATCTTCGTCGTCATCATCATCCTGTTCTTCACGCTCTCTCCGTTGCGCTTCTCTCATTCGTTTCAGCATCCCCTCGGCTAATCTCTTCCGCTTCTCACCCGCCGTCTCATCCGCAAACTCATCCTCATCCTCCGCTTCCTCAACTTTTCCATTTTCGTCTCCGCCTGTAAATCCGTCCTGTTCGGCGTCAGAATCACCAGAATCGATATCCTCATCATCGTAGCTGACTTTCCTCCGTCTCGTTGTCTCTTCCTCGAAGAATGGATCCCTATCACTCGAACCCCTTTTACCGCCTCTCTTAAAGCCTCCACCTTTCTTCTTCTCGTACTTCATTCTTCGCTCACTTTCTTTCTCTGAAGCTCAGCTTAAACAGGATAGCTCGCTCAATTAGGGTTTAAGGTTAGCCTCAGGGTTTAGTGGCGACGGCGAAGCACAAAAAAACGATTTTGGTCGGAAAGTTCACAACTTTAAAATCTTGTATTACAATTTTATTAAACCTAGGTTTCTTCAGGAACCGGGTCGACCCGAACTGACCCGGCCCATTAATTAGCTAGACTGTGATGAGCCCATTATATATTACGCTCTGTAGTAGCATTGGGCCTTTAGTTACAATGTTTTGAGCCGAAATTCAACCGGAAACCATCCTCTATGGCATACCGAACCCGGTTTATGAGTTTTTGGTTTTATTCTGATGTAGTACATGAAACCGAATTATTAGGATAAGATCAATTTAATTCAGTTCCATTTTAGCCAAATTAATTCACCTAGTATTTCTTCCGACCAAGATTGTTTCGATTTAGTTCGAATAGAATCAGCTTGGTCTGAAATTTAAATCGAATCTTTTAATACCGAACCGGACCAGTCATTGACAATTGTATACCGAACCGGCCGTCATTGTCGAAGGTTGTCTTTCTTCTTCTTCCTTCTTCGCTTTTCGCCTCTTTAAAGTTTTGTGTTTTTTTTTCGGTGTTTGTCTCTCCGTCTCTCTCTCCTTCGTTAAAATTCCCAAAGCTCGTTAGAGAAATCCAGAAGCTTCCTACAATTAGAGGAGCGAAAGGCCCTCGCGTAGACAGTGAAACTCCAATTTCTGGGGACAAATAAGCAGAAGATGAGCTCATGGAATTACGTCGTCACTGCTCACAAGCCCACCAGTGTCACTCACTCTTGCGTCGGCAACTTCACCAGTCCTCAAGAGCTCAACCTCATTGTCGCGTATGAATCTCCTCCTTCCTCTCTTTCTTATCAATTGGGTTCTCTTTTGTATAAAGCTGTTTATTTTGGGGTTTAGGGTTTTCAGGGAAGCTAGATTCAACCACTGTTCAATAACTTTTATTGCGCTCTCTTTGCAACAAATTTTTGGGAGGAGTCTCTGGAAATATTATCAATTGTAGCATTGGTCGATAATTGTTTCGGGTACTGAGAAATTCTCACAAGTAAAAATGCTTTGTGAGATGAGTATTGGGATTTTGGTCCCTCTGGGTTCTTTGATGTGCTCGATAATTGGAAATGTTACGAAGGCATTTTTTTTCATTTTTGTTATGGTTGTAATTGGTCTGATGTCTGAACTATACACGTTGTAGAGGGTTCACTGTAAAATTTAAAGATCGTGCCTTTTTCGATATAGAGGGTTTTCAAGTATCGTTTGGTAGCAGTTCTTTAATCCTTTTTGAAAGTTATCTGATTATTTTCGATTTAGCATTGTCCTGGAAAGTTGTATCATCTATTGGATCAGATCCATTAGATTGTTAGTTTTGACAGCGGTGTTGATATTCGCAGGAAATGTACTCGGATTGAGATCCATTTGCTTACCCCACAGGGACTTCAGGTACTACATACATCTTTGTTCTCCCTATGGATCATCGTTTTTTCAATAAGGAAAACTTGCTTCCTTGTTTTCATTTTTAATTTACAATAAATCCATGCTTTTTTAGTTTCAGTTTACAGATTTTGAAATTCATGTTTTTTGTGATATAAAACTATGCTGGATGTTCCTATACTGCAGCCTATGCTGGATGTTCCTATGTATGGAAGAATCGCTACTTTGGAGTTGTTCCGGCCCCATGTGAGTATATATTCTTATCGTGTTCTTATTTCAAGGTCTTATTAACAAGTTACAATGTTGATAGCAATGTCCACAATCCTTTGCAGGGAGAAGCACAAGACTTTTTGTTTATTGCAACTGAGAGATACAAATTCTGTGTTCTTCAGTGGGATGCTGAGTCGTCTGAGCTTATTACTAGGTATAGTTCCCAAAAATATATTTTCATGCATTCAATTGATGTCAATTAACCAGTTGTGGTATTTTGTATTTTAATATATGATCATGCATCATGCTTGCCCTAATCAACTGATGTTTACCAACCTGCTGATTCTCTATGATGTATTGATATTTCTCAGAGCAATGGGGGATGTTTCTGATCGTATAGGTCGACCAACAGACAATGGTCAGGTAATGAATAACGTGTTTTTGCATGCATTTCAGAGTGCTTAAAATTCGTACTTTCCTTCATAAAGATATGTATTGTGATTAAAGGATTGGTTGGCATTTAGCTTACTATTGTTTTGTCTCTTTCTTTTTAGATTGGCATAATTGATCCAGATTGTAGATTAATTGGACTCCATCTGTATGACGGTTTGTTCAAGGTATTGAGCTGTCTTCTATAAGATATGCACTCGTTTGCTTAGTTATATCATGTTACTGAACTTATAGTGATCTTTTGTTTATACGATGTGTGATGATGCATCCTGTTTCTTTGGTTCTTCTTTTAGGTTATACCATTTGATAATAAGGGACAGCTCAAGGAAGCTTTTAATATCAGGTACCGTTTTATTCAGTTAGCATATTGCATTGGATCGTCAACTTGTGTGTTCGAGTGCATATTTGTTTCCATGCATCAGCTTCTTTCGCAGATCCTCAATAGACTCAGTCCTCTTGATTCTTTTAAGATATGATTATGTTTGGGTCATTTTAAAACTGAATGATATATTTGCGTGTGGTGCCTGAATTTCAGGCTGGAGGAATTGCAGGTTCTGGATATCAAGTTTCTGTTTGGATGTGCAAAGCCCACAATTGCAGTACTTTATCAGGTATGGAAATATGTTAACATGAATTTGTTTCTTGGGCATATGTAAAACTTGTTCTTTATTTTTCCGTCGTGCTAGAATTCACTGTAGAAATAACTCTTTTGTAGTTGGTTAACCGCTGTACTATCCGTAGTTGATGGAGTTTAGGCAAAGTAACTTTACTCTATTCAGTAGTTATTTAAACAGATTATTTCTTCTTCTTTTTATTACTTTGAAATCTATGATGATGTAATCTGATGTACATGATGCAATCTAGAATTTTCTGCGGTGGACTAACCAGTGCTTGGTTTCATAGGACAACAAAGATGCTCGTCATGTCAAAACATATGAAGTCTCTCTAAAAGATAAGGATTTTGTCGAGGGTCCGTGGTCACAGAACAATCTCGACAATGGTGCTGACTTGCTGATTCCTGTACCACCACCTCTCTGTGGCGTCCTTATTATTGGTGAAGAAACAATTGTCTATTGCAGTGCGAATGCATTCAAAGCAATACCAATAAGACCTGTAAGTTCTTTCAACGTAATCTCGCCTGCTTTTGTTAACATTTTTGAGATTTCTTCGAGTACCCCTTTTTCTGTTTTCTTATTTTTGATATGTGACCTTCACACTGCGTGTCCAGTCCATCACTAAAGCATATGGAAGAGTTGATGTTGATGGCTCTAGGTATCTTCTTGGTGACCATGCTGGACTGATTCATCTGCTTGTTATAACGCACGAGAAAGAAAAGTGAGTGTATATGCGTACTTGTTCGTCCATATTCTAAACAATTGAAAGCTCTATTGAACTTATTCACTCTGTGCATATTCTGCTTTTATTTGTGTCTGAAGGGTCACTGGCCTAAAAATTGAGCTTCTGGGTGAAACCTCTATTGCATCGACTATATCGTACCTTGACAATGCTGTTGTCTTTGTCGGCTCAAGCTATGGCGATTCACAGGTGTGCTATGATAATTATGTTCTGACTATATATTTCTAAATTTGTTCCCGTCGAATATAAACTGATTATGGTACCACGTTTTTTTAGTTGTCCCCAATTGTTAATTGGTAATAATACTATGTGGATGAGACTTTGTAATTCTTTATCGATTCACAGCGAATACAGAAATTCAAAAAAGGATTGTCCTTCCTTTTCTCTGGTTTCTAGGAAAAGTAAAATCAACCATCTGAGTGTTTCCATATTTGATTTTCGAATTCCAGCTAGTAAAGCTAAATCTACATCCTGATGCAAAAGGCTCATATGTAGAAGTCTTGGAAAGGTATGTCAACTTGGGGCCTATTGTCGACTTTTGTGTAGTCGACCTCGAGAGACAGGGGCAAGGTCAGGTTGTAACTTGTTCTGGAGCATTTAAGGATGGTTCCCTCCGCATAGTTCGCAATGGAATAGGAATCAATGAACAGGTTTGATTTATGCTGCGAAATCTGGATCTCTTGTATGCGCAATTTTCTCATCTTTTTTCTAGCTAAAAAATCCGCTCTATTACAGGCGTCTGTGGAACTTCAAGGTATCAAGGGAATGTGGTCGCTGAAGTCTTCAATTGATGAAGCCTTCGACACATTCCTCGTAGTCAGCTTTATCAGTGAAACTCGTGTATTAGCCATGAATCTTGAGGATGAACTGGAAGAAACAGAGATTGAGGGCTTCTTGTCTCAAGTGCAGACTTTATTTTGCCATGATGCTGTGTATAATCAGCTTGTACAGGTCAGCTTTTTCTAGTGCTTGGGGGTTTTAAAAAAACAATTTATGTATTTGATAGCTGTGATAGCTTAATTTCCTGTCTGGATTCTTGTCTGATCTCTTCTCTCCATTCGTGAACATGAATTAACTGCTGCCTCTTCTGAATCAGGTTACTTCAAATTCTGTTAGACTAGTCAGCTCTACAACTAGAGAGTTGCGAGATGAATGGCATGCCCCAGCTGGATTCACTGTCAATGTTGCAACCGCAAATGCCAGCCAGGTTTGTCTTTTCATTCTGGATGTGATTCAATAGGTTTGTATGTAACTGCACATTGAAAGTATTTTTTGTGAGAGAGATCTGACTTGAGTGGACATATAACACGTTTTCGAATAAACATTTGTAAATGGATTCTGCTTTTGCTTGATAGGTTCTTTTGGCGACTGGAGGTGGGCATTTGGTTTATCTAGAAATTGGAGATGGGAAATTAACAGAAGTGCAACATGCCGTTTTAGAGTACGAGGTTTCTTGCCTTGATATAAATCCTATCGGCGATAATCCTAATTACAGTCAGCTAGCTTCGGTTGGGATGTGGACAGATATAAGTGTGAGGATTTTTTCGCTGCCGGAACTGACTCTTATTACAAAAGAGCAACTAGGAGGAGAAATAATTCCCCGATCTGTTCTGCTCTGTGCATTCGAAGGGGTATGGTTCCATTGGACATTACTTCAAATAAACCTAGAACTGAGTAAAATTTTATTGTAGAACTTAACATATGTTATGTTGCAGATATCTTACTTGCTCTGTGCTCTTGGAGATGGCCATCTTTTGAACTTCCAGTTGGATACAACTACCGGGCAACTAAAAGACAGGAAAAAAGTATCACTCGGGACTCAGCCTATAACTCTGCGCACATTTTCATCAAAAAACGCCACACATGTTTTTGCTGCATCAGATAGACCAACTGTAATCTATAGCAGCAACAAGAAGCTGTTATACAGCAATGTCAATCTTAAAGAAGTTAGTCATATGTGTCCTTTCAACTCTGCTGCTTTTCCCGACAGGTAAACTAAACGTCCTCTCTTTTTTTTTTTTGCTTTCGGTTTCCAGTTCTTGATTAAATCTAAATGGCTGTGAAATCTGATTCTCGGTCCTCTCTTATGAGCAGTTTAGCGATTGCTAGAGAAGGTGAACTTACGATTGGCACCATTGATGATATTCAGAAGCTTCACATACGCACTATTCCTCTTGGAGAGCATGCTCGTCGAATCTGCCATCAGGAACAGACGCGTACATTTGGTATTTGCAGTTTGGGAAACCAGACAAATGCTGAGGAATCTGAAATGCATTTTGTTCGTCTTTTAGACGACCAAAGTTTTGAATTTGTGTCAACTTACCCATTGGATGCCTTTGAGTACGGTTGCTCCATACTTAGCTGCTCGTTCGCCGACGACAAGAATGTCTATTACTGTGTTGGAACTGCATATGTTTTACCAGAAGAAAATGAACCAACTAAGGTATCTTTAATGATTTAGTGTACAAGTCTCAAAGTTCAAATTTCTTTAGTCTAATTTGTCTTCAAATTTTCATTTTTGTGAATGTAGGGAAGGATATTAGTGTTTATAGTTGAAGATGGGAAATTGCAGCTTATCGCTGAGAAAGAAACCAAAGGATCTGTTTATTCTCTCAATGCCTTTAATGGAAAACTTCTTGCTGCTATTAATCAGAAGATTCAATTATACAAGTGGATGCTCCGGGATGATGGCACTCGTGAATTACAGTCTGAATGTGGACATCACGGGCACATTCTAGCTCTCTATGTCCAGACGCGTGGAGACTTTATTGTGGTTGGTGATCTCATGAAATCAATCTCCTTACTGATCTATAAGGTACTTACTACTAACTTTTATATGAAATGAAACCTCTTGCGGTTAAAACTCATAGCTATAGATGTCTGATTCATGACACTATTTATTTGTTAATACAAGCACGAGGAAGGTGCAATTGAGGAACGGGCTCGGGATTACAATGCAAATTGGATGTCTGCTGTTGAAATACTCGACGACGATATCTACCTTGGTGCTGAGAACAATTTCAATCTTTTGACAGTGAAAAAGAACAGCGAAGGTGCTACTGATGAAGAGCGAGGGCGTTTAGAGGTGGTTGGGGAGTATCACCTTGGGGAGTTTGTGAACAGATTCCGCCATGGATCACTGGTAATGAGGCTGCCTGATTCAGAGATTGGTCAGATCCCAACTGTTATCTTTGGTACAGTCAATGGAGTGATTGGAGTGATAGCTTCACTGCCTCAAGAACAGTATATGTTCTTGGAGAAATTGCAGTCGAGTTTGAGGAAAGTGATTAAAGGGGTTGGTGGGTTAAGCCATGAGCAATGGAGATCGTTTAATAATGAGAAGAGAACCGCAGAAGCACGTAATTTCTTGGATGGGGACTTGATCGAATCGTTTCTGGATCTGAGTAGGAACAAGATGGAGGATATATCTAAATCCATGAATGTTCAAGTGGAAGAGTTGTGTAAGAGAGTTGAAGAGCTCACTAGGCTTCACTGAGCCAAACAGTCAAAACCATAAGCTCTGTTTCTGTTTTAATTTTATGCTTTCTTGAGTTAAAAGTCTTCTTTTGGTTTTGTTATCCTCACCTTTTGAAGTTTGTAATAACTTGGCTAAAGTGTTGTTTTCTTAATCAAACCAATTGTCTTTTTGAGTCATTTGGATTAAAAATAATGGTGAATCAGTTGGTCGAACTATATTAGGTTATTTAATACTTTGGATTAAACCTTTACTCTTTGCAGCTGATTCTTTGCTTGGGAACGTCTCTTCTTAACTTTTCCCGTTTTCCGTATTCGTTTATACAAAAACAAATCGGTAAATGGATTGGAAAGTAATATTTCAACAATTTCTAAATCGATGTATTTAATTTCTAAAAATAAATCTTATGCCACCAATTTCTATAACTTTAAAGAGTGAACATTTTATTTCTCTTGAAGGCACCTTCGATTCCTTAAAGAGATCTAGATTATTCTTTGCTCTTTTCGTGAGGTTCTCTTGTGACTAAATAAAACAAAACTTCTCTTGTCTCAACCCTCCCCAAGTACCTATCACTTGTTCATCATATTCAAAGAGATTGTCATTTATGTACCATTTCTACTTATGGTGATGTGATGCTCTAGATTCCTTCTTCCCTTTACATTTATAATTGCTAATACAAAAACATCTAAGAATGAGAAACCAATTATGGATTTTTCTATTTTCTCTGCTTCTACTAAACTTCGTCTCCCAAGGTAAAACTTCTTTCTTTTTATCTATTGAACGTAATTAGTTATATCCCCTCCATTTATTCAAATTGCAAATTTTAAAATTATGCTTTGTTTCATTTGTAAAAAATACATGTTTTCAGTTTACTATGAATATAATGTTTGTTATTCTAATCTCTAGATATCATTTAAAATCGATCAAATGTAAATTTTAATATAACAATACAAAAAAACGGGCTTTATTAATTTGTTAGTGCAACTTATTTCGTAATATGTATGATTAGTCCTCAAACAATGTATTTTGAAGAAAGAAGATATGGAGTATTAAACTATTAATTATTTACTTGTCTCATCGACAAATACATATATATTTACACGTTCGTACAATGTGTAGCTACAAGACCGGTGATAACGATCAGACCAGAGTCACCGGTACGGCCTCAAGGGAACACAACGTTTTTGGACGGAACAACATGGTGTGTGGCTCGACCAAGTGCCTCTCAGGCTGAGCTACAGAGAGCTCTTGATTGGGCATGTGGGATTGGGAGAGTGGACTGCTCGGTCATCGAGAGACGTGGTGATTGTTACGAACCGGACACGATCGTGTCGCACGCATCTTTTGCGTTTAATGCGTATTACCAATCCAATGGAAACAATCTCATCGCTTGTTACTTTGGTGGAACAGCTACACTCACCAAGATTAATCCTAGTAAGTTACTTGCACTTACTATTAATCATGTCTTATTTTGTTTAGTATATATGTTTCCGTACGACCATGTCTAGCTACTTATTTTCAAAAAAAAGTTTATGAAAGATTTTCGAATGAAAATAAGCTTTTCTAGTAAATGAAGTCTTTCTATGAACAAAAAATTGTTTGGATATCTTACGCCAAATATTAAGGATATGATAACTGAAAAATATAAGACGATGAAATACATGATTGGATAAGGTTTTGAAAATAACTAATCTCCCTGCCAACATCTTTGTTATATAATTATTTTCGACGAATTTTTTTATGTATATGGTGGTGATAGAAAAATGAGATATTATGTTGCTTGCAGGCTACGGAAAATGCTCCTATGATGTATCCAAGTAAGAACCCTAATTTTCATCTTTTTGAACATCATGTCTTTTAGTAGTTGAGAATATTTTCATTGCAAATTTATAATATATAGTGTTTCTTCGTTAACTTATTCAGATCAGAAGTCGCTGCCGCTAGATCTCTATCACAGTACAAACCACGGTGGCTAAGGCTGATGTACATAGGAGTTTTATTGTTTCTGTGGCGGCGAAGCTAACATCCTCGCCGTAGAAGTCGATCTTTGCCAGATCAGTTGTGCCGGAATATTTTTCCTTTGAGCAAAGTTTGCAAAGATTTTGGTATTGTAGCAATTAAGCTTCGTGTTTTGTTCTTGGCTTTTCTCTTGGGTTTAGAATCTTAAAAGCCCTATATATAGCCAGCCCTTTTAATCTTCAAGCTAATAATCTTGTACACTAATGCTGATATGTCAATGAATGGTTTCCCAAAGAATTAAAGCTTGTTGCACAACTCTTCCAAGTCTTTATGGCTAAAGTGACCTTATGATATTCTGATGCTTTTGAATAACTGAACTCAACTCCTTGGATCTTTGTTGAGGTCTAAGACAAAGCTTGCCTTTATTCGCTACTATTATTCTTTTCACCCTCCTCTAATCATACAAGAAATCCATCAACGGTGGAGAAGTATCATTGACAAATTTTCAGTGCGGACTAATTTAGAATTACAGTTAGGCGATTGAAACGCTCTGCTATAATAAGATTTCCATGTTCAATTTTTTTATTTTTATATATATTCTACAATTATATTCAGATCCGAATTGATTACACATTACACACATTAGTACACTACACATTACACAACCATTGAAATACAATTATCAGTTACACAAATATCATATGGAAGAAGTGATAGAACAAAAAAAAAAAAAGAGCAAAAGATTACTTGTATGTTCTTCATCTTAAAACATGTGAAATCATCTTGAAACATACAATATTTGCTTCATTTTTAACGATTACGATCCAATCTATTCATTACACACGCAAAAAAAAAAAATTGTTTACGATAAAGATGGGTTTCTGAGGCCCATATACGGCCCATAAAGAGAAGAAATCAGCAACAAAACCCTAAATGGCTAAATCTACACAAATAAAATTTAAAATAAAAATATAATTCCTTCTGTCAATTCGCAGTCACCGGAAGCCCTAAAACCTCCAGCGACGCCGGAGAAAGGAAATTCCATTAGATAGAGAATCGTAAGCTTTTTTGTGTTTTTTGTTTTGCGATGAAGGAAGAAGAAGTAAATCGATGCCAGATTCAGAACTGGTATCCGAAATTCAAATCCTTAACCATCAAAACCAAATTTCACCAGCTTCCAGAGTCTTTCATCACCTATCTCACCGACGATTCTGGTCCGTTTCTTCTCCCTGATTCCGTAACAAACGAGGACGCAATGCCCAAAAGAGTCCACAATCCCGAAGAAGAAGACGATTTCCAAGTCTCCGAAGGATCTGATGACGAAGCAGAGCCACCATCGAACATCCCTTGTTTTCCCCAACTCGAAATCGAGATTAAGGAATCAGTCGAAACCCTAGGCGGCGCAGTTTTCCCGAAGCTGAACTGGAGCGCACCAAAGGACGCAGCTTGGATCAGCCCATCACAGAATCTTAGCTGCACTTGTTTCAGCGAGATTGCTCTCTTGTTTCGTTCCTCAGATTCGTTGCTCCATGATCTCTGCAACGCGTATGATTCATGTACTGACAAAACCTCGTCAAGGCCACAAAGCTTCTTCCTCGCGTTGAGAAAATGGTATCCTTCTTTAAAGCCTGAGATGGAATTTAGATGCTTTGTCAAATCGAACGAGCTTGTTGGGATTTGCCAGCGTGAGGTGACGACATTTTACCCTGTTCTTGTCAATGAGAAGGATTTGCTCAAGGGCTTGATCGGAGACTTCTTTGATGATAACATTAGGTTAGAATTTGAATCAGAGGATTACACATTTGATGTTTATGTGACGAAGGAGAGAAAGGTTAAGCTAATGGATTTCAATACTTGGTGTGGCTCTACGTTGCCATTGATGTATTCTCTAATTGAAGAGAGAAAT